CCTGACCTTGCCGACACCGCAGGCGTGAATGACGGATCCGTCGATGCCGCGGATGCCACGGGGAGCGATGGGACGCAGTTCATGAAAGTCACGACGGTTCGGAGAGAGATGCGTGGAGGCGCCTGAGTCGAAGACAAAAGGTTCAGAGCCGACAGTGGACACGCGACGAGAGGCAGCGGGCAGCGGGACGACAGCGTAGGCAGACGGGTCCACAGTGGCACGAGCGTGAGACGACCAGTTGAGCGAGACCTTGTCTTCGGAGGTGAGCGAGACCAGAGCGGAGTACTCTTGTACGTCGGCCGGAGTTGCCACAGCGCCCACCCAGTCGGGGGCAGTGGCGACGTTCGCCAGCTCAGAGAAGTCGTCAGAGTCCAGGTCGGGCTGGGCAGATGCGCTGGCAGGAGGATCCACGCTGAGGAAGTACACTTTGCCCGTGGAGGTGTCGACGACGAACGGCCTGCCTGAGGAGTCAACAGAGGCCGACTTGGCCAGCGACGTCGGCGCGTTGAGCGTAGTAGCGGCGGCCGCGGTTTCTTTCGCCTTGCCCTGACGACCACGGCGGCGGGAGGCCAGATACTCGTCGTGTTTAGCCTTGTCCTCGAGACCGCCGCCCTTGGCGAAGCACGTGTCGATGAGGTGACCCTTCGGGTTAGGGCACGCTGGGTTAGAACACATGCGCGTCGTACGACCAGATTGGGCGGAGGCGGCCAGGGCGTCGGACACACCGGGTACGGCGTCGACAGCGCTCATTTGCTGCTCGAAGTCCAGTCGTTTGAAGATGTCAACCGAAGTGTACGGCATCTCGGGGGTACTGGAAGCCAGGGAGGTTCCAACCTGCGATTGGAGGTACTTCAGGTGGCCGGCCATGGCGTTCAGCATGGCGACGGTCATCATGACGTCGGCGGATGGGAGACCGATGTTGTAGATACGGTCAACGATCTCCTGCATGCGGAGGCTCGTCACGGAATAACGTTCGGTCGGGACGTACCGGCAGCTGAACAGCTCCTGTATCAGCGTTGCCTGCGCGTACGCTCCGGGCTCCTTCTCGTGGCGTTGGCATAGCGCCTTCCAGACGGCAGCGAGCGAGGGTCCGTTCTTCTGGATGAACACCTGCTCCTCCTTGTTCGTCTTGGACTCGAGGAAAGCGATGGCGACCATCTCGTTGCAGTCGAAGTTGTAAGCGGATGCAGAGTCGACGGCCGGGTCGGGACGTTCGACGTAGCCTATGAAGTATGGCCAGAGATGGCACATCTTGGCGCTGCGTTCGACGTACGCCTTCCACTCGAACCAGTTGCTCTTGGCGCGGTCGAGGATCTCGCCGCCGGCATGCATAGAAGACGGAATCGCGATCGACGAGATCGTCTTCGGCTGGGGGCGAATACTCGGAAGTTTACCGGGTTCGGACATGATGGAGGAGACACGGCCCGGTGCTTTCGGACTCGGCTGGGGAGTCTTCGTCATTTGACGCGAGGGGAGGTGACTATATGCGGGTCAGGAACGCTCTTCTGTGGGCGTTGCGATGTTACACGAAGTCTATGGGCGATCGGTGCGTTCCAGGTACTGGTGCGGGGGCTCAAAACCTCCGACCAGGGCTCATAACCTGTAGGAACTGCACAGCCGTCAGACGCTCAGTCGTGGGTAACACTCGACTAAATTAGGGTTACCTGCACAGCCGTCAGACGCTATGCAGGACGTGAGTAACTATCGTAAGTATGGAACGCGGAACTCTCACCTCAGTCGTGGGTAACACTCGACTGAGGAGAGAAGAGAGGGGAAGGGGACGAGAGGACGAACCACCCCCGGCGGTCTGTCACGTGCGGTGTGGCCGAGATCGAGATCACGTGCCGCAACCTCAACACAAATCCATCCAAAGAGCATATGAAGTTTGCGTACTATGTCCTGAGATATCTTCAAGGGACAAAGGAACTTGCACTTTGCTATGATGGAGGCTCAAACTCTGGTCTGATCACCTACTCAGACTCAGACTGGGCTGAAGACCATGATGATAGGCACTCTACATCTGGCTTTGTTTTCCTCATGGCCAACTGTGTCATTACTTGGGTGTCAAGACGCCAACCAACGGTATCTTTGTCTTCAACCGAAGCAGAGTATAAGGCCAGCTCCGACTGCTGTCGTCAGATGGCTTGGCTGCGTCATTTTGGAGAAGAACTGGGAGACAACATGTCTCATCCAACTCCACTTTGTCTTGACAACCAAGGCAACATTTTCCTTGCGGTGAACCCCGCCATACCAAGCACATAGAAATCCGGTATCACTACATTCGAGAGTTCTACGAACATGGGGAGATGGACATCTATTTTGTTGCAAGTGAAGACCAACTTGCTGATGCCTTGACCAAGAATGTTCCCTTCCGTGGAATCGAGAAATTCAGGTCTTCGGTTGGCATGATGAGATACTCAACATCTTGAACAAGTGGGAGTGTTGAACTTCCGAGTTTTCAGCTTACTGATGAACCACTGATACAGCATGTGACCTGTATCAAATGTGTATATATACTGGGCTGGTTTGCCCTGTAATGATAACGATCCTTCGTCCTCTCCTCTGCCTGCCAGCATAGGATCCTCCCTTTGGGACTGGTCTGTTCACTCACTCTTTAGTCCTTCACTGCCACTGGGCTTACTAAGCCTAAAACCTCTTTCTTCAACAGTTACAGTGTCTCAGTTGTGTCCTTGTGGAACTCAACTAATATTGATACATTACTTGTTAAGGACCAGGAAGGTTACAGAGTCTACAAGGTACAGTACAAGCATCCAGTGCCCAGAGTATAGGGCTACAAGGTGCTTACCACAGTTGCATCCTCATGGTGTTTCCCCACCATCCTTAAGTGTGTAGTAACTGCCTGCAAAATAGTGTCACATTGATGTTGTATCATGCACATTGGGTCTACACACATGAGTCATCCCAGCAGATCACAATTTGACTGTAGTAGATTAGATGTTCCTTGGCACCATAGCGAACACACCACGGAGATCTTATAACATGCTTTATATAGTCACTAGTGCAGAGAGCATTCAAGTAATCTACCATGACTCTACTTATCCGTCCTACAATGCACGGCCGCGGGTGCGCTGGCAGCGTCCACCCAAAGCCTTTTTGGAGTGACCACCTCATTGCTTGCCCTTGAACATCTTCTGGATGGCGGCGGTCGAGTACGACTTGGGACGCTCGAGAGCTGAATAAATGGTGTCACCAATAGATAGGTCATGTCCACGGGGAGCACTCACGAGCACCAAGCGCACGGTCCCAGATGAGCTGCGCAGCGACACCAAACGCACGCGAGACACCGAAGAGAACAGTGTAGAACTGCATCTCCTCGAGACCATAGTACGTGAGGAGCACACCGGAGTGCGCGTCGACGTTAGGCCACGGGTTCTTCGCCTTACCTGCCGCGAGCAGGATGTCGGGCACGTTCTTGTACACCTGGCCAACGAGCTCGAACATGGGGTCATCCGGCATGTGCTTCAGCGCGAACTCGCGCTGGGCCATGTAACGCGGGTCCGTCTTGCGGAGGACGGCGTGACCGTAGCCAGGAACAACCTGACCGGCGTTGAGCGTCGACCAGACGTACTCCTTGACGGCCTCGTCGGAAGCGTTCTTGCCGATCTTGGCCTGCATCTTACGCAGCCAGACGAGCACCTCCTGGTTCGCGAGACCGTGGAGAGGACCAGCGAGACCGTTGAGGGACGCACCGAAAGCGAGGAAAGGATCCGAGAGAGCGGAGCCGACGAGCTTGCCAGTGTGGGCGGAGACGTTGCCACCCTCGTGATCACTACGCTGCGTCAACGGCTGCGTAGTAGGCATTAACGCGAGAAATGTACCTGTGGATGGTGATGTAGAGCCTCATGAGCTCGACAAAGCCGGGCTTGTCGCTGAAACCAAGCAGGTGAGACAGGTTCCAGGAGTAGTCCTTGGTGGGGTCAATGGCGGGCAGCTTGCCGCGGCCGTAGGTGTTGCGGTAGATGCGGCCCGCGATGTTGGGCAGTTTTGCAATGCTGCCGGCAGAGTGATGAGCGCGCGGTGCCTATCGGGCGATGACGTCGTGCTCACAGGTCCATGCAGTCCTCGAAGACCGGCTTCCAGTACTCCTTCTTGGAGATACCCTCCGAGTACGCCTTCGCGAAAGCAGAACCGTGGTTGAGCTGTGGGAGGCGCGTGAGTGTGACTGCAGATGACGTCGAGGGTGACTACGCACGGCGGTGACCGCGATGGAGAACTGGCTCATCGGGTGGAGAGTGGACGGGCATCGGTCGATGAGGTCCTCGACAAAAGCGGGGAGCTCGGCGCGCGCGGCCCACTCGCGGGAGAGGGCATCGGTCTGCTCCTGGGTGGGAACCTCACCGGTGAGGAGAAGCCAGAAAAGGGCTTCGGGAAGGGGCTCCTGGCCACCGGGGGCTTTGGGAAGGGCCTGCTGGCACTCGGGGATGGTCTTGCCGCGGAAGCGGATGCCCTCCTCTGCGAGAGGTGAGTGAGAAAGGGCGCCGATTAGGGAAGACGGAAAACCGACGGACCAGCGTCGAGGACGGAACCGTCCCAGATGAGGGCCGGGAGACCTCGCATGCCGCTGCCGGGCAGAGATCAGTGAGGCGGTCCGGGGACAGTGGGAGGATACAAATAGGACTGACCCGTAGAGCTGGTCGACGAGAACGGGGCCGAATGCCTTCTTTCCGTGCTCGGCACGCGTGGCCTTGACCTGTTACGATCGACGATCAGCATGACGCGCTGGGAGGAGGGCGAGGTGCGTGCATTCTCAATCTCTGCGGGGATGAGCTCGGCGACTCTGTCCTTGAGGGAGGTTGCCTTGGTCGAGGCCAGCCTGGCCGGGCAGGCGAAGGCGCTGCGGCGGGACTGGGCGTGATGAGCACACGTGGCTGGGCGGGGTGGGGGGACGCACCTGGGCAATGGCGGAGCGGACGAGCGAGGACTGCATGGCGTGCGCGACGGCGGCGGCGGCGACGAGGAGGGCTCTGGCGACGAGGAGGAGGAAAGGGTGAGGAGAGACCGCCGCCAGCGCACACTTATGAGCCCGCCCGGCCGTTCCCACGTGCGCTCGGACTTGTCGGCTTCTCCCGCCGGGCTCTCTCTCCTCCTCCCGGCCACCTCCAGCACCCCGCCGTCGCCGCGATGCCCAAGCGCAAGCGGCCCGACGCCGACGCCGACGCTGAGCAGAACGCGCTGCTGCCCCAGGTGCGTGGCCCGCCGTGGGTGTGTGCGCCGTCTGACCCGTCGCAGAAAAGACACTATCGCCAGCGGGCGCACGCGAACCCCTTCTCTGACCACGCACTCAGCTACCCGTCCTCCCCGCGCGCCTTCAACTGGGCCGAGCTCTACCCCGCGTTCGCAGCCTCGGCCAAGACCCCCGAGTTCGCAGACGTCGGCTGTGGCTTTGGCGGTCTCCTGATCGCACTCGCCCCTCTATTCCCGGACACCCTTATGCTCGGTCAGTCCCCTCTCCGTCTATCGCCGACCTCTCCTCCCCGCGTCCCTCTCCTCCATCAACATCTGACCCCGTCCCGCCAATCGCTGACCCTCGTGCACCCACACAGGCATGGAGATTCGTGTCCAGGTCTCGCAGTACGTCCAGGACCGCATCGCCGCCCTCCGCGCCACATCTGCCCCCCAGCCCGGCAGCACGTCTCCGGCCCCGTACCAGAATGTCTCTATCGTGCGCGCCAACTCCATGAAGTTTACGCCCAACTACTTCCCCAAGCACTCCCTCTCTGCCATGTTCTTCCTCTTCCCCGACCCCCACTTCAAGTCGCGCAAGCACAAGGCCCGCATCATCTCGCCCACGCTGCTCGCGGAATACGCCTATGTCCTCAAGCCCGGTGGCATCGTGTACACGATCACCGACGTCCAAGATCTGCACGAGTGGATGAAGACCCACCTCGAGGACTTTCCGCTATTCCAGTACGTGAGTGAGGAAGATCTCAGAGGCGAGGGCAAGGGCCCCATCCTCGACGCGGTCTATGCCAGCACGGAGGAGGGGAAAAAGGTCGAGCGCAATAAGGGCGACAAATGGCTCGCGTGCTTTCGGAGGATCGAGGTGTCGAGGGACTGAGCAGCATTTGTACGATTGCCCATCTGTTGTAGCCTTAGACCAGCATACCACGGAAGTCAAAAACTCATTTTGTCCTCCATTACAACATCTCGCTCGAACGCATCTGCGCCGCCCATCGGCGGCTTCATGCCCGTCTCCATCGCGCCGACCAACCGGGTCGCGCGACTTTTCACCGCCCGCTTCATCTCCTTGTGTAGTGCCTGCCCTGCGTCGCCCGCCAGCCGGAATATGTCTGCGAATCGGTCGACGTGCAGCCGCGTCTCGAGCGCGACGAGAGTGACCTTGCCCGTCCGCGGCATGACGGCGACCGTCATGTGCGGCAGGTCGTTTTCCTCGAGCGTGGTGAGGTCGAGGAGCGGCGAGGTGGAGTGGACGCCGCCGCTGACCGCGCAGACAAAGTCGGTCATGGGTATGCCGGCGCTGATGAGGGCGAGGGTGGTCGCGTTGATGCATGCGTGCAGAAGCCCGCCGTCCTGCTGGAGGACCTGGACAAAGATGTCGATCTGAGAGCGCGGGTAGAGGGTGGTCTGCACGACGGGCTCGAATGTGGACTTGATCGTCGCAGCGAGCTCAAGGATCCGCCTTGCACGTACCGTCACATTGAGGCAAAGAGACACAGGCGGACGACTGACCTGTCTGCGCGTGCGCGGCGGCGGCGCTCGCCGGTGCTGAAGGGGAGGACGTTCATCTCGACGTTGATGACGGCGCGGTCGTGGAGGGTCTGGGAGCGCATCTTGGCCTCTTTGGGGCCAAAGACGGTGACGAGGACCTGGGTGAGGCCATGGGTGATGGTGCAGCAGCCGTCTGCGGTGCCCTGCTGGGAGAGGTCGATGTCGATGTCGCGGAGCTCGTACTGGCGTCGGCCGTCTGAGCGGTAGCCTCCGTCGTTGAGGATCTCGACGCGTGAGCTCTGCGGGGGCAGTTAGCAGCCGCGCGCTGATGCCAGGGAATGACGACTGACCATGGCCGCCAAGCACTCGTGCTCGCGTGTGTCGGGGACGGTGGCGGTGGATGCGTTGAAGACGCGCTCAGTCGCTCGGCCACCGCGGGAGGAGGCGCGCTCATTGCCGCGACCGTGTGTAGCCGCGCGCCCGGTGGACGAGATTGGCTCCCTCCATCGCCGCGATGAGCGACTATCGACTGCGCCTCCTCCCTATCGCCCTTCCTCCTCCTCCTCCTCCTCGGCCGTGTCCCGTCGCCCACCATGTCGTCGAGACACGTTCTCCCGCCGTCGCTGCTCGACACCGATCTCTACAAGGTGCGTCCCATCCGGTCCCGCTTATCGCGCACTGACACGCCAGTCAGTTCACCATGCAGCAAGCCGTCCTTCGCCACTTTCGCGACGTCCAGGCGACCTACCGCTTTACCCACCGCGACAAGGATGTCCCCTTCACCCGCGAGTGCATCGACGCCTTCCGTGACTCTGTCTCCAGTGCGCGCGTCCGTCTCTATGCTCGTCCCATTCGTAGCTCACGCGCCTATCCTAGAATTCGGCGCGCTAAGTCTGTCAGACGAAGAGTGTGCCTGGCTCAAGGCCACCTGCCCGTACTTCTCCGACGAGTACCTCCACTACCTCCGCCAGTACCACTTCAAGCCCGAGCAAGTCGCCATCCGCTTCGTCCCGCTCGAGCACGATGCCAACCTCGGTCATCCCGAGATTGAGGCCGTCGGCCCGTGGCTCGAGACTATCCTCTGGGAAGTCCCGCTCATGGCCTGCTTGAGCGAGCTGTACTTCAATGTCGTGGACACCGATTGGAACTATGCCGGACAGGAAGGTACTTCGTCTCGTGCGCTTCACCTTCCGCCTAGCTTACGCACATGTCGCCGTGCAGAGCAGTCATATGCCAAGGCTGAAGACCTCATCAAGGCGGGCTGCTCCTTCAGCGAGTTCGGCACTCGCCGGCGGAGGTCCTACCACAACCAGGATATCGTCGTTCAAGGACTCGTCCGCGCGACCAAGGACTTTTCTGGACCGGGAAAGCTGACTGGAACGAGTAACGTGAGTCGGTGAAGTTCGTTCCATTACCAATCCTTACAGGCGTATCATTCAGGTCCACCTCGCGCGTTTGCATGGTCTCTCGCCGGTTGGAACGATAGCTCAGTGCGTGCGCTTCTCCACCGCGCGCTCAGAAAGCCTAATATCGTGCCTTCGTCCTCTGCAGCGAATGGTTCATGGGTGTGAGCGTCGTCCATCTATCGGCTCCTTGCTCGCGTCTCTAATGCGCCGCCTCTCAGATCGGCGCGTCGAAGGGTTACGAACACGCCAACGGCATCGCGCTCACCCTCTGGGAAGAGGTCTACCCAAACGCACTACAACTCGCCTTGACAGACACTTTCTCAACGGAGGTCTTCTACAAGGTCTCGCACACGGTATTCCAGTGTCCGTCTGCTGACACATACGCACAGGACTTTGTCGAGGACCCAGAGCGTGCAAGGAGGTGGAAAGGCCTGCGCCAGGACTCTGGTGACCCGTTCATCTATGCACCACGAGCCAGAGAGATCTACGAGTCACTTGGCATTGATCACCGCGAAAAGATAATCATCTTCTCCGATGCACTCAGTGTCGAGAAGGCCAAGAAGCTCAAGGCTCAATGTGACGAGGTGGGCTTCACCGGTAAGTGTGCAAACCTGGTGCTGTACGCCATGGCACTCACCTCTGTTGTACAGCTTCGTTCGGAATCGGTACGTCGTTCACCAACGACTTCAAGAAGGCGTCGAGCGGCGGCACGGAGAAGAGCAAGGCGCTGAACATGGTCATCAAGCTGGCGGCCGTGGATGGCAAGCCTTGCGTCAAAATCAGCGACGAGCTCACGAAGGTAGACTCTGCTTTCTTACGACATGCCCGCCTGCATTGACTGACGCTTGATGCTCAGAACACCGGCGATCCAGATATCGTCAAGCTGGTCAAGCAAATCTATCATCTTCCTTTGTGATGAACTGCATCTCCGTGTTAGACACTAGACGTCGTGGCTGGTATAGAGTTGTATCCTGATGAACCTAGAAGCTTGTACGAGAAGTTTTACGAGAAGTTGTATACAAGAGTGCCGTCAGTTGAACCCCTGCATGGTGTGCTGTTCCATTTCATGCTGCATCACCAAAGTAAGGGTACTTGGGCGTGTTCGCAAGAAGCTTTGGGACATCTATTCTAATCATTATCTGTGCTCGCAATCGTCGCGACTGGGGCGGTATACACGCGTGTACTAACGACCACGGAGCTGCACTCAAAGCGTGAGGGCCACACAGGCCACAGAGTTCATACTCGATGAGCTCAGTATCTCCTCAACATCAGGACTGCCGAGCACGAGTGCCTTCGCCCGAATGACAATTGAATCAACGACGCAGCAGACGCGATGTGCCCGCAGACGTCGCGCGCACACGAGCGCTTGAGTGAGTTGCCTGCTTCGCCACACACGCGTGCGCTCGCCACTCACAACTGCTTTCCACCATGTCGGACGCACGTTCTCTCCTCCGAGCGAAACGACAAGAGGTCCGCGTCAACCACCCGCTCGCGTCCTACTCCGCGAGCGGCCAGCTGCGCTGCATCGCGTGCGGGCTCAACATCAAGCAGGGCACGTCCTGGGAGGGCCACATCGGCAGCAAGCAGCACCGCACGAGCGCGGCGCGGCTCCGGGAGGAGGAGCAGCGGCGAGCGCAGGAGGAGCTCCTCAGGCAGAAGCGGAAGGCGTCCGAGGAGCCGTCGGACGGGGAGGACGAGGGCGTCGAGGCGAAGCGGAGGAGGGTAGACGAGGAGGAGGAGGATGCACAACAGCTCCCGCCGGCCGCCCAGGGAGATTTCCCCACGGACTTCTTTTCGGACCCGTCTCGCGCACCACCACCACCCTCCGAGGATACGGACGACGAAGACGCGCCAGACGGCGCATCAGGTGCGCCCGCCGCGCCGGCGTCGAGGAGCGCGATCGACGAGGAGTGGGAGCGGTTCCAGGCCGCAGTCGTCAACGCACCCGACATCCGCGAGACATACGAGCAAGCGACCATATTTGCTGAGCCGGTGCTTGCGCCAGAGGTCCCGGAAGGCTTTCCGCCACAGACGACGGAAGACGCGCAGGACGGTCAGGACGCAGTGGTCGACGAGGGGGCGATTCGGAGGCGGAAAGAGCAGGACGAGAAGGAACTCATTATGGACAGGCTGCTGGAGGAGGAGCGGGTGCAGGAGGAGGCGGATGCGAAGGTGTCGCTGTTGAAGGCACGGCTGGAGGCGGTCAAGCGGCAAAGGGAGGCAAGAAAGGCAACGAAGGCCTTCAGAGGCGGACAGACATAGCAGTGAGTGCAAGCATTATGGACAATTACAGGTGCATCTGGATGTTTATACAATGTACGTAATGAATGCGATCTAGCTCTCCACGTCGCTCTTCTCCTCTGTCTCGAACCAGGAACCCCACAGACCGCGCTTGCAAACCATCATGAGCCCAAGTACGGCAGGGAGATAGGCCAGGTAGTAATGCCACAGCTTTTTCGCGTTCTTCTCCGTCGTATGCTTCCAGAACTGCCACGCTGCGCGCGCGCACACGACGTTGGGCACGAGACTCACTAGGGCAAACGTCCAGCTCGTCAGTCCTGACAGCGGGACGAGGACGGAGCAGATGGGAATGAGGACGAGGGCATGGCGGAGGGCGACGAGGGCGTTCTTGGGAGGGGAGAGGACACAGAGCATGCGGTAGCCCGCGACGGCGTAGGACTCGCGGACAAGGTAAGAGATGGCATTGAAATGGGGGAACTGCCAGCTGTAGAGGATGAGGAAGAGCGCCCAGGGAGCGAGCGGGTTGTCGATGAGTGCGAGGTCGGTGGGGGCGGAGGAGAGGAAGGAGGGTAGGAAGAGATGTATCGGGTACTCTGCGGAAGGAAGGATGTTTCCCCCGCACGCCGTCCAGCCCATGAGGGGAGGGATGCCGCCGACGACGGAACCCACCCAGGTATTGAGGACGCTCTTGCGCTTGAGCCAAGTGTAGGCGCCGGCGTACAGGGCGATGTTGGCTGCGCCCAGGAGGGCGGTGGTCGGGTTGCACATCGTCCAGAGGATGGCTGGGCCAGCTATGCCGGTGACGGTCGCGAAACCTGCGGCATGGAGGGGCGTGATGGCGCGGCGTACGAGGGGGCGCATGCGCGTGCGCGGCATTTGTGCGTCCAGTGGAACCTCCTGTATCTGGTTGAGGGTGTTTGCGGATGCAGAGCAGAGGGCGGTGCCGATGGCGGTGGACAGAAGGACGGGGACGGTTGTGGGGAGCGGGGAGAGGGCGACACCGGACATGGCGGTGAGGACGACGAGGACGGTGAGGCGTGTTTTGGAGAGCTCGGAGTATATTTTGAGCAGTCGGCTGGGGGTGAGGACCTTTGCTTTGCGATAGGGGAGCGCAGACGGCGGCGGAGGATACTGGTCGGCGTGCCCTGCGATGGTGTGCGCTAATGGCGGCAGGGGCGAGGCGATGTGGCCCGACGGAAGGCGCTGTGCGGGGGCACTTGTCTGCCATCTTGCGTTGTGAAAGAAGAAGGACGCGAACCCGGCGGGCTTTGTGACGGCGAGGGTGGACGCCAGCCGGGGGCGGCGCACACAGTCACGGCAGATGTACGCCCATGGCAAGCGATGTGCTGCCCTCATCCTGCCAGTCGTCGTCGTCGTAGTCGTCGTCGTCGCAGTCGACAGTGCCGTCGTCGTCGTCGGAGGGGATCCGTTCAGCCACGCAGCGGATTCGCACGGTGCAGACGCCGGCGCCGATCGCGACTGCCGCCACAGACGCGACGCATCCGCAACATGGACTTTACAGAGATCTACAAGCAGACAGGGCAGCTGGTGTCCTTCTCGCCCGGCGCCCACTTCCTCCTCACCGCCATCCAAGACCGCCTCGTCGTCCGCCGCACCGACTCCTTCCACATCACCCGCTCCTGGCAGCTCCACCCCGACCCCTCCCCCACCGCGTCTGCCGTTTCCCAGCCGCCCAGCAAGTCCTCCCGTCTCACGACCTCCAGGAGACCTCCCGCTCGCGCTCCTCCGGATGGAGGCGCAGGCAGCTCGGTCGACAGAGACGGCTGGATCACGCACGCAGGCTGGTCCTGCGACTCCGAGTACATCCTTGCTGCGTGTGCACGCAAAGGCGTCGTCGACGTCTTCAAGATGCGCGACGAAGAATGGCGCGCGCGCATAGAGGCGGGCGCGGAAGGCCTTGTCAAAGCCGAATGGGCCCCCGACGGGCGAAGCATCGTCTGCTGGAGTGAGTGGGGGGTATGTCTCGCAAGCCGTGCGCGGATGCTGCGGTGTACTTATTAACTATCGTAGCTACGAGTGACCGTCTGGAGTTTGGTTACAGACTCCGCGACGTACATCCAGTACCCAGCACATCCCGAACGAGGTTCGTCTCCCGCCCATCTGCCTGCCTCAGTCGCTAACACACCTACAGGGTACGCCTTCCGCTCCGATGGGCACTATCTCATCCTGGCAGAACGCCATAAATCCAAGGACGCCATGGGAGTGTACGATGCCACCTCCACATACCGCATGGTCAGGGTACGTCAATGCGCCTTCCCTACCCACCGTTCCGACCCGGCGAATGGCGTGTGCGAGCTCACAATCAGGACGCCCCGTATTGTTGCATGTAGCACTTTCCGCTCCCGACTGCGCTCTTCGCTGCCCTCAGCCTCTCACCGACCGGGAATCACGTCGCCGTCTGGGAGGGCCCGCTCGAGGTATGCCGCGAGTCTGTATTGACGCAAGCGTGCTCAATGCAGTCATAGCACAAAATCTACATCTTGAGTTTGGCAGGCGAGCTGCTGGGAACGTTCACGCCTGAGAAGGACCCTACCTTTGGGGTGCGTGCGGTCGCGTGGCATCCAGTTGGGCTGTTCCTTGTTGTGCTAGGGTGGGACGACAAGGTGCGTCAGTAGTGGCTGCGTTTACGACGCTCCGACCGAGAATTCTGTGCCAGGTATACGTGTTAGAAAACCTGACATGGGGCCCTGTCGCCACATTCGAGCTGCAGAGCCGAATACCGACGGGCACGGTAAGTTCTCGCCACTCAACATTTCTACACCACAAGTGACCAGACGCTGGCAGACAATCTGGCGCGAGCCACTCGAGTGGCTCGAGGCCACGGGCGGGCGTGGCTTCCTCTCCTGTACGTGTTCTGTGTTCGCCTAGCGAACGACGAAGGTCACTGACACAACGCAGACGAACGCGTGCAGGCTCCTCATACATTGACTCTGACACCACGCGACCGCACAAAACCTCCATCAGAGCTGTCTGCAGCCACCAAGTCGTCCTGCGAACATCTCGCCTGGAACATCGACGGCACGACCCTTATGGTGCGCTACGGCGGCGCGCCCGAGGCAATCTGGCTCTACGTCTTCCCTAGCTTCGCCCGGCCGCCAGACAGCCGCTCTGCGCCCCCCGCCGTGATGAAGCCAAAGCTCAGGAGCGTGCTGCTGCATGCAAGTGCCGTGACCAGTGCGGTTTGGAACCCCGTCCGGAAGGCTTCCCTCGTGTGTGCGACGGGCGGCGGGGCGGTCTACCTGTGGAGTGACGAGTGGGTCTCTGCGTCTCCGGAGGGCGAGGGGGAAGCAGAGGAGGTGGCGGAGTGCGTTGGCGTGCCCGCGCGGAAGTTTGCGGCGGGGGCGCTGAGGTGGGCGCCGGACGGCCGGGGACTGGTGTTGCTGGACCGCGAGACGTTCTGCTGTGCGTTTGAGGTCGAGGAAGAGGCCGGAGACGTGCCGGTTCCCGGTTGAGCGGTGGACGAATGCGTGTCATGGTCCCTGTGTATGATTAGTGAAACCCCAGCCGTACGATGGCGATACGTTGTGAACTTCAGGTCTGAGCGGGCACGAGGTGTCGTAGCATCGTGAGAAGCGAGCCAGCTGGACATTATCGCACTACGCGGGAATACATGTACTTGAACGGCGTGTCTAGACTGTGTATCATGCGAGTTCTGGCGAGATGCGCTCTTTTTGGACGCGAGCGATGTATGTCTTGCTGACAATGTTGACTGGGGAGAGGTGAGCGCGGAGACACCAGGAGCTGGTAGCGACTCACAGGCTTCCATGTAGCGCTGCAGGCAGTTGCTCAAACATGACTGATGACACGGGTAAGGAGGACACCGGTAGGGCACACATGGACACGCACTTGTTCTGAGCCGGAGAGCGAGCCACCCGGCTTGGTGACGCACTTAGCAAAGCATTTCTCGTTGCATTTCTACGGGACATGAGGCGCAGCGATGGGTGTTCGAGGGCCGAGTACGCACGTTCATGAGCTCCTGGGCGTTGGTGAGGGCCATTTCCTGGCGGTAAGTGTCCATGAAGGCCTGTCTGCGGGAGGCCATGTCTGTGTGAAGGTTCAGCGAGTGCGCGAGCGGGTCAGGTGGAATGGCGCGCCTGGGGCTGGAGACGGGGTGCTGGACGAGGACCCAAAGAAGCTCGACATGGCAGGCAGCGAGCACGATGTGGCGGGCAGCGACGGCGACGGGGCACACGGTGGTGGCGAGTGCGTGACGCGCGGCGTGACGGCGTGACGTGGCGAGGGCTGCCGGCGGGGAGAAGGCGATCGGGATCGAGATCCGCCGCTGAGACGGCGGGCGGCTGTTGTCCGCGGCGTCGTCCACCGCGACGATGGGCAATCGCGAGTCCACCGCACACGGCGCGGGCAGCGGCCCCGACGACGGCGGAGTGCCCGACTACTACGCCCTCCTCGAAGTCGACGACAACGCGACCGCAGACGAGATCAGGGTGCGCCGCGCCACCGTCCTCGCTCCCAGCAAACTCATCCTTCCTCCAGCGATCCTTCCGCAGGCTCGCCCTCATCCACCACCCAGACAAAAATCCCGACAACATAGATGCTGCAACAAACACTTTTGCAACGCTACAGCAAGCCTACGAAGTAATTTCCCTCGTTCGCTCCCGTCGCTCCTTTGCTCATGCCTCTCTCTAGGTACTCAGCGATGACCAAGTGAGTCTCCCTGCCCCATACCTGTATACCAAGTCTCATTGCTCCGTGTCAAGTAGGAGCGTGCTTGGTACGACAGCCATCGGGCCTCCCTAGCTCCGGAGCCCGACGCACGAACCGTCTTCGAGGACGTCAAGCGCGGCGCCCCTCCTCCGCGCGCCCGCGATCGCGGTCTGACGGTCCGACACCTCGCTCAGTTCTTCGACGCGTCAATATACACTGGCTACGACGACGGGCCTAATGTACGTGTCATGCAATCTGCTACCCGTGCAGCCTTGCTCACATCCGCCTACAGAGCTTCTTCACCATATACCACAATCTCTTCGATCGGCTCGCTCAAGAGGAACGCCAGTTCACCGACGCTTCCTCTCAACATCCATCCCTTGGCGACGCAACATGGCCATGGGTGCCCGCTAACAAGGACTCCAGAGATAGAGCTGCGCGCACGTTCTACAATTCTTGGATGAACTTTGTGACGGCAAAGGACTTTGCCTGGGCAGATGCATGGAATATCAACGAAGCCCCTGATCGACGAGTACGGAGGTGAGGTGCGCCTTGAAGAGACATGGTAAATAGTACTTATGCGCTCTACAGGCTCATGGAACGCGACAACAAAAGGGCGAGGGACGACGCGCGGAAGGAATACAACGATACCGTTCGGGTATGTCTCCTTCCATTGTGGACGAAATTACGTATCGTAACGCACCCCTAGTCTCTCGCGACCTTCCTCCGTAAACGCGACTCACGGTACAAAGCTCACCTCGCCGCACAAGCCGCCGCTGCATCTTCTTCCGCGTCCACGCCGAGAGGCGCGCGCACTCCATCCTCGCGACCGGCCCCTCCGTCCTCCCAGCCCGATTTTGTCGCCCAGGACTGGCAGAAGGCACAGGCGATGCCCGACGCGGACGACCTCGAGTGGGCGGCGGCGGAGAACGAAGACGAGGAGTGGGAGTGCGTTGCGTGCGGCAAGAGCTTCCGCAGCGAGGCGGCGTGGGATAGCCATGAGCGCAGCCGGAAGCACTTGAAGGCAGTCGATGAGCTGAAGAGGCACATGAAGGAGGAGGGCGAAGAGCTGGGGCTTGACGGAGACGGCGAGGAGCAGAATGACGAGTCGCTGGGTAATGCAGGCGAAGATGAAGGGACGATCGAAGAACCGCCAGAGACACCCGCTCCTCAGTCGGATGCTGAGGATGCGGTCAATGAGCCAGAAGCACACGCCGCCGACATCGACAGCGGCGAGGACGAGGAGGGCAGCGCAGCGAGAAACGCCAACAGTTCCAGAGCACAGTCATCAAGCGATACCGTGCATGGAGACGGCGACGGCGAAGGTGGCGCAGCGCAATCCACGTCCAAACGAAAGACAAAGGCCAAGCCGCCGCGTGCCCCGTCCCCCGAAGTCCTCACAAAGTCGCAACTCAAGGCGAAGGCACTGTCCGAACAAGCCAGCGTAGCATCTTCCACTGTTGACGCCCTTGACCCAGCTGCGGAGGTCGATGACGTGCCTCAGGAGTCTGCGACGACGCCGACGCCGCAGCTCTCGAAACGAGACAAGCGTCGCGCTCGCGAGGCTGCGAAGGCCACCCGCGCAGATGCAGCGGGCGCTGCTGTCAACGAGGTGAGAGCGCATTATGATCACCAGTACATCGACGTACTCACGCTGTTGTTGCCTGCGTGAGCAGCGCTGTAACGTGTGCAAGTCAGAGTTTGATAGTCGGACGAAACTCTTCGCGCATATTAAGACGACTGGGCACGCTGCCGCAACCGTGGTTGACGAGGGCCGCAGTGGAGGTGCGAAGAAGGGCAAGAAGGGCAAGAAGTGATGTCTCGTGAATGCGGGGCTCGTCGTGTCATCGTACGTGTAGTAACCAGCAAATACTACTGCTGTAGCCTTACAATGTGCTAACGGAGTTTTCTTTATATGACACCGTACCCGTGTGTCAAGATCTGAGTCTTTGCTCTCAAGTCCGTTCGGTACTTCTCGAGCGATGTGTATTGGATGTGTATCACCAGTACAACGGATCGACTCAGATAGTATCTTCGGTCGATCGCTCTGATTTTGATGAGGATCTGCACCATCCAGGGCGCAGTCAAGTCCGAGGAGATTGTCCGCTTCCGGCTGCATCATCGCTGCGAGACTCGGACATCAACGTTTCAAGGTTCAGGGACCAAATCGCGATGTGGCCGGTCGAAGTTCATGACGATGAGTCGGATCATTTAGGATTCGGCGAGTTGTTGCAGGTTGTTGCTTGACTGAATATCACTACTTTTTACGTAGTTCACCAGTCACAGGCGCAGAGCACGCGTCGAATTGACGAGAAGCCATTGTGTTGCACTGGAATGGCAATCAACATGGGGGGCGGCGTACATAGGCAACGGGCAAAGCAGCGGTCTGTGGCAGTCATGAACTCGTGTGTAGGAACATAGGGGGTTGATTGGGGAGTCCGTGCCCAACTGCAATGTCCTAGGGACAAATACATCAAGACAAGGGATGCGTCCGTGAAGCGTCCGATTCGTTGACTGGGGATGTCTCACCTCGCACAGTGTTTCGCGCTCACACCCTGGGGGTTACGCTGGAGCACGGCCAAAGAGCCACGTTGAGAAAGCAAGCCGCGTGGTTCCGATGGACCATGCGCTAGCGTGACGACAGAGCTAGTGGTCTCCGAGGAAAAGTAACCGCAAGAGGGTCACCGGCGAGCGTATCGGGTTTTCCATGCGAAACCACCATGCTGCCTTCCATGTGGTTGAGAAGCCCGAGCTTTTGAATTTTATTTTGACTATTGATCACCTCAACATTGTGCGCGGTTTAGGATATTGTGAGTCACGGCGCTGTTGAGGGCGAGCCCGCACGAACAGTACTGCTTCCCTGCTTTTATCAAAAATAGAGACATTAGCTTCGGATCGATTAAGGATCAGCACAACACATTCGCAACTACTTACAATGGCCAGGAGACAATTGTCCGTATGCGCGAAGGTAAGCCATGCTCGTTCCTGGGGGAAGGATGGAGGCGAAGGAAAAGTAGAAACGCGTTGGCAATCTGCAGCCTTTGAGACAGCAGTCAAAGGCGCAGGGCGCGATGCACGATGGTCTGTCCGCGCACGGGCGACGTCCAGCAGGAGCAAGGCACACCTGAGCGCGAACGAACGGCAAGGGACCTCCCTCTGACGTTTCTGAGTGATGTCTGTCTGAAACTCTGCATGGCCTGGGGCACGGATGCGACACGCGTTGACATGTAGCGATATCTAGTTGCACGGCCGCGCATTCGAGTTCGGACCTGGCGATGAGACGGGGTCAGCCCTCTTCTTTCGTCCGAGGCGGAACGGCGTCATTGACTTGCCCGTGGGAGTTGAAGGCGAAGCAGAGAGAACGGAGGAGGCGTGCTTGTGGAAGGAAATTCCGAGCGACACCATACACAGCGGAGAGCCTGGGCCAGAAATAATGCAGGCGCTAGGTGTGGTACAGCAGATCACGGTGGACGGCATGCAACAAGCGAGACTGGCACCGTGTGGCCCGCTCAAGTTCATAGAACACGCGATATAACTGACACAACAGTCGAGACGGCCAGACTACAGCGATACGGGTTGGAGTGAGCAGAGTGCGCGATCATTCAGATCTCAGGGGTCGACCGACCGCAGCGTTGTTGCCGAGCACAGTCTTCGGACGTCACCCTTGCTCACCCAGCGCGTCGGAAACACTGCACCTTTGCTTGAGTCAAACCAGATGTTTGTCAACCGCTCAACGCACCTTGTTGACCGTCTACACCGCAGTCATATGTGTCGTAGTCGTGGAGTACGTGCGATTGATGCTCAGCTGTACAGCAGAAGTGAAAGTCCCTGTATTAATACACACATACAAATTCGGGTGAAGCAAGAGACGAGAGCATACAACGACGGCCATGCATATGCCATGCTGAAAATGACCTCTATTGCCGCCTGGGGGCACATCCTATAGGATGGGGGGAGAATCCACCAGGAAGAGTAGCAGTCACAACAACGACGGGATCACCACACGTCATGAACGACCGGACGAGAGGATGAATCGATCATCCCATGAGCTGGGTAGAGTCGTCCGGCGGGTATTTCGTTTGCGAGAACGTGAGTAGCCTGTATGATCGACCGAGCGTCAGTTAATAGTGCAGGTACCATATATCGCCGCAACGTACCGCTTCAGACTTTGGATATACTTCCGACTGACTTCGTCGTTTAGCACATGTGCAACTTGATCTGCAGAGATCTTTTCTCGCGCGGAACGCTCATGAATACTGAACGGAAGTAAGTAGGCTGCGGGTTAGTCGGATAAAGTAACGTACCCAACCATGGTAACACCGATGGGCCATGGTGCGTTGCCAATAGACAGACGCAGATACGAGTCGTTGGCTTTCTGGTATTGCCGATTTTGCATGTAGTGGACGATCTCAGCCACTCGTCTGAGCATGTCTGAAGGGAGATTCTGTGCGCCAGATTAATGAGTCTGTAGGCGGTCCAGAAGGTAGAACGTACCCTTGCTCGGATGAGCTTGAAAAGAGGCTTGAGATACTCGGCACTTTGCTTCTGTGTCGCAGCAGCGAGCTTCCCTTGCATGGTTCGTTTTACGCTCTCTGCGGGCGAGTATTAGCGAAGACGTACATGGGAGGTGTTGCTCTTTTTCATGTACCTGGTCGCTCGTCCATCCACTCTTCCCATTCCTTGAGTGTGCGCTTGAGCGCATAGTAGATGATGGGGTATAGTTTGTCCGGATCGGTCTTGACGAGCTCCAAATCCAAGACCTGATGTGCCTCTACTTCCTTGCTTTCTTTCTTTTTGCCCTTATCCTTCGCCTCCTCTTGCACACGCTGATCCTTCACTAGGCGCTCAACATTCTCGACATCCTCTAGGGCCTTTTTGAAGTCGTTTTGCCCTCCATGACGCTCACTATTCTTCTCCTCGATGAGCTCTAGCGCACGGAGACGAAGACGGCGGTCCTTGTCAGATTCATCAAACAGGCGGATAGGCTGGCCCTTTGCTCGGAGCCGGCGGACGGCTTCTTCGTTGGAGATGTTGAATGCGGACTCTGGTGCAGGAGATGCACTCGTGCTGGCAACGTTGGTGGGGGAGTCCGTGCGAGGACGAGAAGAAGAGGCCTGTTCTCCAAAGTCGCATGAGACGGGTCAAGCATCCGCGAGACTAGACGTGAGCTCACTCTTGCCTTTCTACGCTCCTCATCTTCGCGGGCCTTCCTCCCTCGCTCTCTGGCCTCCTTCTCCTCCCGTTCCCGTTCCTCCTTGAGGCGTTCGAGGTCGCCGCGGCGCATATACTTGGTCGGCCGGTGGACAAGTGCAGGATCCTCCTGCAAGGCCTTGCGCTTTACGGCGATCTCAGCCTTGAGAGCATCCATGGTCGAACAGAGCAGCGAGTGCGGCGGGGTGGTGGTGGCTGAGGACGAGCGGGTGGCGGGAGAGGCCGAGCCGTGGCCGAGAGTGAACTCGCCCGCGCCTGTTGGTCGCCGCGTCCGCTCGTCGTCTCCGACTCGGTCTCCTCCTCTTCCGCGCCCTCCACCATGTCTGACCTCTCGAGGTGGGTCTTGCCCGTGTCCACAGCACGCTGCCGTCTGACACCTGCGTTTCCAGCAAGTACGTTCTGCAGACCGCCGGCTTTGACGGTACGTTTCGGGCACCCATTTTCTGCGCGCTCGCCGCCTGACGTGCCACTTCACCAGCCCGGTTCCCCAACACGAACCAGACGAGGCACTGGTACACCCATCTGCTTTTCTCGGGCGTTATCTCGGACTCAAGTACTATATTCTAGCTTCCAAAACTACACCGACTACTTCAAGTGCATAGCCGCCAAGGGCGAGGAATTCGCCCCCTGCAAGCAGTTCAAGCGGGCGTACAACTCTCTCTGCCCCAGTACGTCATTTTCCTCGTAGATATACCCCCCTCTGACTTCTAACCACTACACAGACGAATGGGTAAGCTGTGTTTGCACATCACTGGACGTTCACTAAACCTATCCCCCATGTGTAGATCGCGAAGTGGGATGAGCAGAGGGAGAACGGTACATTCCCGGCCTCGCTTGAGCCCTGAATGACCCGATACTTCCCGGAGTCTATCGTTCGAGGTCTTTGCGGTCTACACTGTTCGATGACGCCTCTAGAACTTCAATCATAATGTCATTCTATCACGGGGGCAAATGTCATGGCGGCACACAGGCTACATAGTTCCCTGTGATGCATCATGTATGTATGACTAGTCGCGAAGTGCATTCATTCATTCGTGGACCCACCTGGCGCGGTACCGAGCGTGATCTAATCGGCACTGCATGCACGATCTGGTTGTGATTTGGTATACTCTCTACTCTAAGCAACTATAGTCACACAATAGGCATAACGAGTAGGTAACATGAGCGACTTCGAACGGTGCCTCAGCAAGCACGGAACAGCATCCCAGTCAGTGTACTGCGGGACAAACATGGCGACATACATCAACGCGAACACAAACCTGGAGAGCAAACAAACGAGCAGAGAAAGTCACAAAGGCAACATTGAGTGAGAGGATAATTTGCGATCGCCCGAGCAACGAGCAACGAGAAACGGGCAGACCCGGACGCGCATTTTTGCATGCTAAGCGGCCCTTTGGCGGCCTTCGCTACATGCCATACCTAGATCGTCACTTCACCCAGCTTCTCCGTGGCGTCCTCGACACCTTTCTCCTCTGGCACATCCTCGGGGAGGTCCTTCTTACCTGCGGCAGCGCTCGCAAAGCTGAAGGTCGGCCGCACACTCGGCTCAGTGGCGTTCCTCGGAAGGGACCTGTGAGACTCCGCACTCGGTGAGACGGGGCTAGTCACGGCAGACGTAGGCGGCGTCGGACCGTCGCGAGTACGGCCGTGGTGGGACGCCTGCCGCGAGGATGTCCGTGACATCGTGTGCGTCGTACGTTCTTTGACGGCTTCCTTTTCTTTCTCGAGGCGCTGTTCAACTTCGTGCTCCTTGGCAGACACGTCCACAGGCCTGCAGTAACAGAATGTCAGGTCACGGTCGAATGATGGCAGAGGACAGAGCGTACTTGGCGGTGCCGAAGGGATTTGAGCGCGTGGCGCTAGGGGCAGCGTTGGCAGGGTTGGGCGACGCGAGGGGAGACGGGGTGACAGAGGGGCCGCTCGAGCGAGGCAGCAGCTCGAGCTTGCGACGGCCCATCTGCGGCGTCGGCGGCGTCGAGCCACTCGCTGTACATCATAACATCGGTGTATTTAGTCTGGCGTTCGAATGGAAATTTAGACAGGGACGTACGCGAAGTACTGTTGCGGGATATCGCGCTCGGCCGCCGCCAGTCACTCTCTTCGGGCTGGCTCTGCGCAGGCGGCGGACCCATGTCGCCCCTGCCGCGCGCGGCGCCGAACCTGCTGCCCGGGCCCTCTGCGGGCGGCGCGCTGGGCTGGAACTTGGCACCACGAACCCAGGTGTCCTCCGCGTCGGCGCGCGACGCGGGGGCGTCCTCTCTGAAGGATGTCCTTTTCGCGAACCGCGGAGGGCTGGCGCCCCGGACCGGCCCGCGGGCGGCTGAGCGCCAGTCAGAGGTCGTGTCGGAGACAGACGGCGGGAGAGGCTCGCGGTCGCGCGGACCAGGAGCCCCTTCGAACCGTCTGCGAGAGTCATCGCGAGAGGACAGGTCAGGCAGGGGTCCGTCACGTCGCCACGGGCCCGCGAATTTCTCGTCATCGAACCCACCGCTACCGCCGAATCCAGAGCGCTCTTTTGCTGGAACCGAAGAGGTAAGGCTGATGTGAGATGCACGACGAATGGAATGGAGGACTTACGAGGCTCCGCTACGCTGACTCGGACGGTACGCCCGGCAAAGCTCTGCACAGGGGATCAGCGGACAGGCATGGGGTGACAGCTCGCGACTACTCACCGAACCGGACTTGGCCAAGGCATCCTTCAGACCATCCAGGTCGGCGAACTCGATGTATCCGAAACCTTTCGGGCGATCATCCCTATCCCGGATGATTTTGACTGATTTGGTCTGCGATGCATGCTGAGCTCGCGCTCTGGGGGCAGAGAAGGAAAGGGGCGCACCTGAATCGGGCTAAAAAACTCCTCCAGCTCACCCTCGGCGAGATCGAAGGCCAAGTTACCAACGAAGGCCGTGTAGGGAGGCTCCGTGGGGAGCGGGAGGTCTTCGCGAGGAGGTCCGCGATCGGCTGGAGGGAGGCTATAGACGGACCACGGAGAAGCAGTAGGGGTGGTACTTACAACGTGAAGACAAGAAGTCGTCCCTCCTTCCGCGATCAGGGGCGCCCGAAAGTCCTCCAAGGCCATCCGACCTAGCTGCCGCTGTGTGGAGGCGGACTGAGTTCAGAGGACGGGGTGTCAGCAAGCGCGATGCTCACGAGCAGTAGGAAGGGCATCCATTTCGTCGGCCCATGATCCAAGGGCTGGGTGGGAAGGTGAGCTAGGCTGGGATGAGGCCTGTGAGAGGCGTGCGCACCGTTATCACCCAGGAACTCGTTCAGGCTCATCTTCTGTTGTTTCTTGGGCGCTACATGACGAAGCGGTGAGACGAGGAGACGAGGAACGACTGAGGCAGGCTACGCACCCATATTGGAAGCAGATGTGCAAGTGTCGCTGAGCGAGACGTGCTGTTTGCGGGGAGACTTGTGCGGGGACGAAGTGGACCGCGGTGTGGTTCAGGCGACTCCCGAAATTCTCAAGATCCCTCCCTCCCATCGGGCGCTTCGCTCTCACGCTCCCTGGCCCTGGCCCGACCCCCCATTCCTCAGCAGCCGCGCCCAGTTCTTTCACAACACGCTTGCAGACATGCGACGTGCTCGCTCTCTCGTCGCTGTGCCCGTCGACCACCGCAGCGACCACACCGGCGCGAACAGCGTGCGAGGCCGCGGCCGGCAGCACTTGCCATATCGGTGAGCGAACGTGTATGACATAAGCGGTCTGGTAGCCTGCTGTCGCGCCGTGCGCGCGCAGCCACCCTCCACCGTCCGCGAGCATATCCTACGATCTCTGTTCACCGCGCAACATGATCCTCCTCGAGGTATGCTCGCCCATCACACCCGAATCAACGGCTGAGACCATGCCCTCCAGCCACAGAACTACATCATCCAGACCACGCTCGCGGAGAAGGCCATCAAGTTCGTCCACATCTAACGCTGCATTGACGATGCATCTCACACCGTCACTTGCAGGCCGGGCTATGTCGATGTCCAGTTTGTAGACTTTGATAGCGTTCGGTTCAAGCTCTCTACCCCGGACAAGAAGTCCGTCACCAATGTCCTCTTGTCCATGAACATCCGCTGCTGGGATGAACTCGTCAAGTATGGCGTCCACGATGTGCTGAAGCGAGAGTATGGCGGACTCGTGGCCGCACAGCCAGAGCCCGACTACAACGTGAGCCTCGAGATCGACCTCGAGCAGCTGCCTCCGGAAGGTGGTGAGTCTCTTTCCCTGTGCATCCCGTGGCCTTGTAGTGCGCACGACGTGAACAATCACTCCGCTTGCGCTCGCAGAGCAACGCGACGCGCACCTCAAGTCCATCGCCCTCCTCAAGCGCAACGCCCTTGCCGCACCATTTGAGCTCGGGTTCAAGGCCCAGAAGCAATTGGAGTCGTCAGGGAGTGGCCAAGGAGACCTCATGGCTCTGCACTACCGAGACGAGGATGTCATCTATGTCCAAGCCTCGCCTGATCGTGTGACCGTCATCTTCTCCACCACCTTCCGGGAAGAGACTGATCGCATCGTCGGCAAGGTCTTCCTGCAGGTCCGTCCCCAAGTCAGTTGAGCCCTGCGACGCGTTCTGACCGAATCACCACAGGAATTTGTTGACGCGCGACGGCTACCGACAATCCAGAGCGCACCGCAAGTCCTCTATACCACCCGTGATCCCCCGCTAGAGATCCGCCATGTCCCGGGCCTCGTCGACTCCGAGGACGTGGGCTATGTCACATTTGTTCTCTTTCCCCGCCACTTCGCAAATCAGGAGGTCGCTTCTGCGACGATCAGTCACATCCAGCTCTTCCGTGATTATCTGCACTATCACATCAAGTGCTCCAAGGCGTACTTGCACTCGCGTATGCGGCACCGCGTGAGCGAGTTCCAGAAGGTGCTCAACCGCGCAAAGACAGAGGTTGCGGTTGTCGACCGAAAGACAGCGACGTACGTCCAAGGTTCCCTGCGGTGATGCCAGAGGATTCGCCGCTGACACGAACTTGGTTCCTACAGCGGGAGGTCCATGATCCGGTAATGAGGACTTACCCCGGGGTGGGCAATCGATAGGCCAGGGTTGTCGAGGATGAACGGATCAAGTAAACGTACGAAAGGAGGTATCTGTATGATTAGACTTCGCGAAAAGACCCAACAGATCCTGGTCGTTTGAATCGTTTCATGATGTGCTTTCGGTGTCCGCTGGGAACGACGCTTGCCGGGTATTATGGTCTATTATGATCTGCAACGGAGACTAGCTGGGAACGGGCTGCTGGCGGTGCACACTCGATATTGACTGGTCTGTGTTCACGATCGAATCTAGATGGTCAGACGATGGTTCGATACGATGCGCTACCGCCTCGGGCAGTCGGTGCCTTTTCTGACATTACGCCTCTACTACTACTGCTAAGGTGTCAGACTGAGCCGATGACGAGGATAATAACAAAAACATAGAGCTACGAGCGAGTGACTGGAATAATGATAAGGCAAGATATACGACCGACAACGAGAGACGACACAGCTATATGATAAATACTGCGGATGGTCGGAGAGACGGAGATGCGCCATGAAGGCGAGGCTACAGAAGCAACGTTTTGGGATACAATGCACATCTACTATTTACCTATCGACAGAGAACGGTACCCTTTATTCGTAATGTTTATCGTGCATCGAGTCAAATCCGTACGGTGGCATGTCCGTACCCATATGGGTTCCCATGTGTATTTGCCCGTGCATCTGTTCGTAGCCCTGGCCGTCGTAGAGCGACTGAGAGTCGATGAGGGCAGGCTCGCCCCAACGCCGCTGCGTGCCGCCCATGTCAGCCGTTTGTGGGCTAGGGATGTCAAAGGACGAGTGGGCGGTGGAGATAGAGGACGCTAGTCCGCTCGACGAAGAGAAGTACGACGATGCGGAGTCGCGCCGTGAAGTCCCTTGGAGTTCGCCGTAGTACCCGCTCATGTACGGCGAGAACGTTTCCACGGACGGCGGCGAAGTAACGAGAGAAGGCATGCGCGCGGGTTCGGTCGGCTGTACGTTGTATGGGACGATTGGCTTCGACGCTGCAGTCATCGGGTAATTCTCCACCCAGGCGGGACCGTTCTGATGCATCGGTAGATACTGCTGTGATGGTGTGGACTGGATGGGCGGCGAGTCCCAGGGTGCCGGCGAGTGGGTCGAGATGCACGCTTCGGACGCTCGCCGAGCCAGGAGACTCGGCTGCATAGCCTGCTGGCCCAAGGGGTAGTCTATCCGCGGTGGGTGGTACATACTGGGATGAGCAGCCACGGGAACGGGCGCATGGACAGCTGGGACGGGGTCGAAGGTCGCTTGCTCATCACTGTACGCAAACGACCGTGCCGTGAAGCCCTGAACAGCGTGTCTGCCGAGCTGATACCTCTCTATCAGGTCCTGGGATAGCTGGGCGGCAGCGCCGACAAGTTCATGCCGGAGGACCTTCGACGCCTGCATGTCCTCTGTCCAGTCGGCGCACGGTCTCCAAAATGGGGTGGCTGAGGCATCCGCGCCCAAGGATGCTCTGCTCTCGAGGAAGAACAAGGGTGGCCGCGCCAGCGTCAAGCAGACCATGGCCATTCCCGGCGAGACGCCGTCCATCGTCACGTCGGTGATGATGTCGAAAGGGATCTCCATCTTGAAGCCAGAGCCGGCACAGTGCACGTACCAGACCACGCACCTCTTGGCCTCGCAGACGTAGGCCAAGAGATCGTACTTGGCCTGCAGCGTCGCGATTCGGCGCCAGGTCCCAATCGCCAGGTCGGTGCACGAGATCAGCCTGACAGCTAGAGCACACAGTCCGAGGGTCAATCAGGCGGGGAGCACGATACCAGCGACAGCAGACAAACTCACGTCCGTCTTCATGTATCCATGCGCGGAGCTGCGGGTCGTCAGCGAAGCTGTGGATCGAAGGTATGTCGGGTGACGGTTCGGTCGATGGTCGTCCCTTGTTGCCCGTCTGTAGCTTGGCCTTAGCACGCCTGTCAGTGAGTCATCAGCTGCCGGTCGGACGCGCATGCAATACGCTACTGCGCACCTGTTCTGGAACCATATCTGCGTCTGGCGCTCAGTCATGCCCAGCATATCGCTGATCTCCTTCCTACGAGCGGCGGTTGGACTCCGGTTGGCTACGAAGAAACTCTCGAGCTGGGTGAGCTGCTCAGGAGTGACGCGTGACCGCTTGCGCTTCTCGCGAGACTCTGGGCCGCCATCGCCACGCGCGGTCGACCGGCGGCGGCGTTGAGAGTATGGCGAAGGACCCTCGTCGATGCGGTCAAGATCGGTGGGTTCATCTGTGCCCTCGGACGGTGGACTGTCGGGGTGCGCGTGAGGCGAGGAAGTCGCAGAGCCAGAGGCGCTGCTGGCGGTCTCTGGATAGGGCTGCTGTGGTTGCGCCATACCGACGAGGAGGAGGTGGTGGTGGTGGTGGCTGCGATAGAAGTGACAGAGGAAGGCTCTAAGGGCACGTGGGATAACGCGTCAGACGCGTCGCACACGCGGAGCTGAAATGGGAAGACGAAGACGCACCAAGTCGAACGAGGAGCGCGACGGCAGGGAGGTCGATGGTGGCTGGGAGGAGGGCGAGTTGGTAGGTAGGAGAGGAGATGCCTCGGGGGCACTCCTATCCTAAAGGGATGGGATATGTCAGAATGAGGGGAGCAGATGAAAGGCACGGAGAGAACCGCGGCCGGAAGAGTGGGAGATGTGCGTGACTTTGCAGCGAGGGCTGTCGTGGAGGCGAAGCGGGGAAGCCACGCAGAAGGCAAAGTCATCCGTTCTTAGTCGCGGCCTGGTTCGAGCAAAGAATCTTGATCTCTCCGTATGCACTGGCGCCAACGTACGGCTACGTCTTCGTGCTCCGAACGATCTTCAGATCCACATCCGTTTCAGGTGTCAAGCAGGTCCGAATCGTCGGAGGCAGTGCACTTGCAGTGCACCTCCCTCGAGCATCAGCAGGCGCGTCACCAACCACCGTCGGCCCGCGCCTGCATCACACGCTGGGCGTCGGCTGAGGTCGTCAGTCAGGCTCGGAGACGCGGGTGCGCTGCCACGCGCAGGAATGATCGACCATGAACACGACAATTGCTCATGCTAGTACGGAGCGTGGCCAGAGCGGTGGCTCGCCCAGGAACAGGGCTTGTGTACGATGGACCATGGAACAGCTCCTTCGAAGGATGTGCATCGAGGGTGCATGCTGCTGCGAGCGTCATGCTGATAGTAGCCCCTTTGTTTGCGAGTGACTAAGAGAAGGCGCGAAGACCGCCTGCGCGCGCTCTGCGTGTCTACTGGTTTTTTCGAGTGCATGAGCCAGTCGCCACGGAGACGACTGGATGGACCCACCTCGTCGTTGTTTTTGATGAATTTGTGAGTGTGATTGCGGCTGTGGAGCGAAGTTGGAACAGGCTGAGCGAAGACGATGAGCCGTGTGGCTGGAGTGTGGCGACGGAGAGGAGTGAGATCTCGGACCCACCGGGACCGCACATTCAGGGCTATTCAGGGGTTGTTTGGTGGGAAGAGACCGAGGAGATGGTCCAGGCGTGGGCAGCTTGGTCCGAGCGGTCCGGAGACAGAGTGCGCGGGAGGTATTAGCAAATGAGGCAAGGGGGCGGGGCCCGGTGGCAGGGGAGCAGGAGGAGGTTGCCCAAAGAGGGGTATTAGGTGCGGCCTCCGCGAAGTGCGGAAGACCAGCAACGGGCTAGCGGGCGGCGGGCCCTCCGAGCTACACTGGCCGCATTTGCTGGGCGGGGGCTAGACTCGTATTTCGATTTCGACAGATCTCGCCGCCTTGCGCATGAGCTAACTTACCAGGCACACAGCCTGTCGCTGGCCTACGCCCCCGACGGCCGCGCCCGCTGGCAGACACTTACGTTTTGCTGGCGACGTACATCCGCCAGCGTACGCCGAGGAGGTGTGCACGATTGCAGTGGCTGCTCGGGTATGCCATGCACGCGCAGCGAATCTGAATCGCCCTGCTGGCAATCACCGCACACGGATGCTTCTATCGGCTAGTGGGAGGAGCAAGAAGCAGCACAGCCAGTGCACAGCCTCCGAGTCTCTTTCTCTGCGCATCGCGCATCTGCGCACAGCTGGATCGCCAGAATGTTGCCTTCGTGAGTGAGCGAGCTGATGGGCCATGATCGACTAGGCGCCCGCCAGCCCCCTGAGGCCTGATGGGCACTGACCACAGTCTACTCAGTCTACTCCCCACTGACTCACAGCGGGCTGACTGGCGACCCGACAGATGGGACACAGGCAGCGCGACCAGGCGCAAGTAACTGGCGATTGTTGACCAATAACTTGCCATTGCACCAGCATTGCACCCTCAGGAGACCCGGACCAAAGCGGCCCGCTGCAATGCACCCGCCTGCGCCTGCCAACTCTATCACCACGCGCTCTCAACCCGAGCCCGCGGAGAGGTTATGTGAATTTGACCGATGCGCTCAGCGACTACCAATTATACCTCGAGCTCTCTGCAGTCGTTAGACAGACACTTCGACGAGTATGTGCGCCTGGTCTGGCAGAGGCCACACGGAACTGAGCCATCGTCGAGACAGCATGTCGTTTCGTGACTTGGCTGTCGTACACAATTCCTTGACACCGTGGCTGCAAGCGCGCGAGGGTAACGTATCGTCCCTTCATCGTCCCAGCCAACGGCGCTAGCATGCGGACTCGTGGTACCGCACATTCGAAGAGGGGTCACCTCATGCCTGTCGTGCGAGCGTTGCAATATCCTTGATGGTTGCCGTTGGTGCTGTAAGGGTCGCACGGAAGGTACCCAGTGCACAGACTCGTTAAGCTTCGAGCTCAAGGACGAGCCGACATTATCGCTTTACATATGTCTAACTGTTTAACTGTTTAACTGTTAAGGCCGCTCAACATCCCTGCCGACGTCGATGCGGCCCCGCCCATCGCAGATCCAACAGCCTTCGGTCCCGAAGATGCGATCATGCGCCCACAAGTTTCGCCATTCAATATCAATCCGGGTCCTCCCCTTCCCCGACCGGTAGTCCGACTTACCCTGGAGCAACGTCCACAGCAGTCAGCGTCGCTCTCAGTGAGTAGACGAGTTTCACAGTCGCTGGTGACTTCAGAGAAAATACTCAAGTGTCCCTTGAGATCATTGAGTATGATTGACGAGAGGGAGGCTGTCCAGCTTTTTCTGACCGCGGAAGTCATCAGTCCCTCATGACGGTGTCATCCCGCCATCCCCGTAGGACGACAAGCATACAATCTGCGCATAAGCCCTCCCGCCTAAGCACGGCCTAATCACCCTCCGGCGATGAAGCTTGAGGGCACCAACATTGTCGAATGCACGGAGAGGCGGGCGAACAGTCCACCAGACCCACCTGTTTCCATCATCGAACAACGTTCAACAATTGTTTTGAAACCTCGAGCGGAGCCGACGAACGCACCTGCAGGCCCTCGATGCATCGGGCCTTCCATTCAGCGTTGCTAAGGTCAGTGCGCATTCCCTGGGCTTCTGGTGTGTGCTGGGTGTGTGCCCTCGGGCGACACGTCGGGGCAGCATCACCGCGGCGCCTGCACACTTGCGGCGGCCGCGCGAAGTGCTCAGGCTCCCAGTATAGGTTACTTGGTGATGAACGTACCTCGACCTGCACACAGATAAGGGTGCACCCATGACACCTCCGTCTCTCTTGGCGAATGTCTGACAACTGACGCGATTGGCTGACGCGCTGATGATGTCGGCAGACATCCCTGCAAAGTACAGCAAAGGCAGCATACATACTTGCCTCTTCATTACCTGTGCAGACGATACAGAACATGCATACTTACGCAACCGGCATACGGCCGACGGACAACAAAGCGAGAACAGCGCGAGAGGAAGAGGGGGGAAAGAGAAACCAAATGGCGTCACCTGCGCGAGCCATGCATGAGGGGCCGCAGAATATTCGATCATTGTCACCTATCAAGTCCACCAGTGCGGGCGCTGCAGCGCTCCTAACTCCTGACCAGCATCGATCGTGCTTGCCATGACGTCTCGGCCTAGTACCGTGGACGTTTCGTGTCCCGGTCGTCGTAGCCTCCGGGTCCGCCTTCGCGTTTGAGGTCGCCGCGGTACCCACCCCCTCCTCCATATCCACCGCCGCCACCGAATCCTCCGCCAGGCGGCCCAAACCCACCTGGTCCGCCACTGGGCGGGCCTCCGAAGCCTCCACCAGGGCCGTCGAATCCTCCCGGCCCATTGGGAGGGGCACCGTATTCATTTGGTCCATGGTCGCCGCCACCGAAGCCTCCGCCGCCTTGGTATCCGATACCTCCGCCGCGACCCCTGCGGGCACGCGTCATAACCAGTCAGCAACAAGGATGAGAACGCCATGATGGTGACCACGAACCTAAATCCTCCGCCGCCTCCGAAGCCCCCGCGACCACCTCCGCCAAAGTCGTCGCGATCCCTGAAACCTCCTCCTCCAAAGCCACCCCTGAAGCCGCCTCCACGACCGCCGCGGAACCCACCTCGGTCGCCTCCACGGAACCCACCTCTGTCGCCTCCGCGGAACCCACCTCTGTCACCCCCGCGGAAGCCTCCCCGGAAGCCACCGCGAGCCGCCACGAATGGTGCCGCTGGTGGTTCCGGCTTGGGCCTGCCTCCCAACCCGCCACCCAGTCGACGCGGCTTCCATCCCCTCACTGTCCTCCCTCTCTCGACATCCACAAGGACACGCTTGCCCATGATGTGCAGTCTGTCCGACTCCTTGTATGCAGCTGATAGTTACCGCGAGAAAACGCGCGGGTACGCTGTTGGGTCAGTACGAAAAATGCAGATGGCGAGCTATGTACCTTTCATGTCGCGCTCTCGCTCGAAGACGATGAAGGCATACCCTCTGCCTCGCCCCTTTTTGTCACGGACGATTCTTACCCGTTCGATGCTGCCGTAGCCTTCGAATTCTCTCCGTAGGTCGCTATCAGTGGCATTTTTGTGCTGACAGCGTGCGGCCACAGTGAGTAGACAAGTTTTGGAGGCAAGGTGGAAACATACCAAGCGAGCGACAAACAGTGTTTTGTAGGGGTCCCCAACGGCTTCGGGGTCATCCGCGGGCTTGTCTGCAAAACGAGGATGTGAGCGGTCATAACACGCTACAACGCTAACACTCACAAGTCTCCTTGGCGGCGTGGAAATCCTCCTCTTTTTTCTTCTTCCGCTCCTCCCGCCGGATCTCTCGTTTCGTCTGTTCTGCATATGTGAATGCTGGCTCCTCGCCCTCCTCCATGCCCTCGCTGGCGCCCGACTCCATCATACCCTGGGTCTTGTCCTCGCGGAGGCGCGCGAGAAGCTGGCCGACGCCCTGCACATTGGTGGGTCTGACGCGGTTGATGTCCCTGTCGAGGGGGCGCGTGTATGGCAGCGGGGGCCGCGGTGCGAAGAGCTTGAGGAGGTTCGGAGGCAATAGATGGGTGCCAGGCATGTTGGCTGTGCTGGTCGGTGCGGGTTACGAGCAGAGGGAGATGTGGTCGTATAAGTTAGACGCGGACGACACGCAGCACGGCGCAGGAGAATACGTCGACGGCGGCGGCAGGCGGTGGTCGCAGTCGTGAACAAGAGGCCGTGGGAATTCTCTGCCAAGCCGCTCCGCCTCAACACCGCCCGCATCCCCTGCTTACCGCCCGCAACCCCATGCATCTTCAAGCTTCAACCCGAGAGCCAGCGGAAGACAAGGTTGTATCGTGTGTCCCAGAACACCGCGTGCTGCTGGCACAAGTCAAGATGTACAGCAGGAATCGATTAATCGTGAATGTAACAGCACGTGCGGAAGTGACCGTAGATTACAGCGCTTGAGATGCAGATCGTGCAGAATGCCCCGGGAGCGCGAGCAACTGCCAGTGAATATGCAGTGAATAATTCTCCTTTGAGTCGTACGTACCGAAGAGCGGTCAATCGTCGTCGGAGTGCCTCCTGCTTTTCCCTGGCATCATTATCAGTGCTCATGAGAATCCGGAAAACAAATGTTGTAGCAGCACACTGGTGTGTAGTGGTTCGTACCGAAATTTCTCAGAGGGTTTTTTTGACCCCATCACGCACCGTGGCCGAACTCGTTTTCTCAATACACAGGGAAGTTCGGGTCCACCTCCGTCGCCCACGCTCTGAGTCCTCCGACCAGGTCCTTGACCACTCCACCCACACTCGCAGCGCGGAGGGCATCAGCAGCGATCTGCGAGTCATTTCCAAGGCGGCAGACCACATAAGTCTCTTCGGGTCTTTCGTCTTCATGGGAGACTAGATGCACGTCGGAGCCGCCAGAAAGAATGGATCTGTCTTTGGACGACGGGTCGGCAACAAGCTGATTGAGCGGAATATCTGTTGAATCGGTCACAACGCCTGCGGAAAGCCGCATAACGGATGCTGGATGCTCACTGGTTGATCCTGGCAGGTAGCAGATCCCAAACTCGGTCGGTGGTCTGACGTCGATGATTCTCACTCGCCTTCCCGCTGTGCTCAGGGCGTCATGCAACTCCTATAGTCGTCATATGAGTACCACCGTCGACTCATCGTATGCTCCTACCTTCGCACTTATCCTTTTCTCTCGATCGTCCGCGCCTTCTACACCTCGCGCCAGCCAGTCCGGTCGGGGACCTCCGCAGAAAGCGACATAGTCGGTCTCGTCAATCTTTCCTGCCCATTCTGATTCGTGGAGTGTTCCGCATGCGGTGCATGTCGGCTGCCTGGTGCGTAACTTGATGGACCGGAAAGGAGGAGTGGCAAAGGCAGAGTACATCAGCATCGTCGGCTTACGATCTATCTGGGATGTGCATCAACCTGTGCGAGTAGGTCGGTATCACACGCACCATGCAACCCAGTTATGATCTTGATCGCTTCCATAGCTTGCAGTACGCCTATGACGCCTGTTACTGGGCCTAGGACCCCGAGCGCTTCGCAACTTCCAACGTTCTCTGGTGCGGGTGGCTTCGGAAAAAGACAACGGAAGCAGGGGCCCCGTGATTGACTCGCATCCGACAAGGGCAGGTTGTACACGCATAGTTGACCGTCAAGCTGCTGTGCCGCCCCGCTTATCAAGGGTTTCCCGAGGCGTACGGCAGTGTCAGAGAGCAAGTAGCGCGTAGGCATATTGTCCGTGCAGTCTAGGATGAGGTCATAGGGAGCCAGTAGTTTTGAAGCGTTCGTGGGGGCTAGCGCCTCCACAATAGGGACGGCATTGATATGAGAGTTAATCCTGAATTCGAAGGATAAGAGGCCCAATTTCGGTCGAGGAGAAGGAGACACACTGTTTGATAGCGTCGGCCGCAGAGAGGGCCTTGGGGGTACCCGCCCGTGCTTCGGTATGGAGCACTTGGCGGTGCAGGTTGGACATCTCAACGGTATCATGGTCTACGATGGCAATGTTTCCTACTCGGAAATGCCTGCTGAGCGCCCGCGGTGCGAATGGTACTGAGGGGCATCGCACCTACACCAGCTGCAGCGAGGTACTGCAAAGCAGGACAGCCAAGACCGCCTGCTCCTACGATAACCACAGATGACTGCCTCAATCTGAGCTGAGCTGGGGACTGGAGTGAGCGGATCGTAAGTTGGCGTGAAAGGATTTGTGATGCAGACCCGGGAGGCCGAAGCCGCTGAGAATCATCTGCCTGCCGTACCGGCTGTACTCGTCCAGTGGTAGAGCTGCACTCGATGGGCCATTGTCCATGTCTGCGACGGCGGGGTCGGGGGAGATGGCTTGTCGCGTCCAAGTTGTGGCTGGAGTCTAAGATCGCCGGCGCGCTGATCAGCCACTCAGCCACAGTCGCGACGCTGCCGCCCGCCACAGCCAGCCACAGCCGTGACAGTCGTCGTCCTCGCCGACACTCTTGTCGCCATCTTCCAGGCCTCGTTCTCAACTTCACCTTTGCTATTAACGTGGCCGCGATGCAAGCAATGCCAATGCCCATATCGCTGCCCAGTATCAGCGGCAGGGGCTTGCAGATTGGCAATCTGATGGGCCACATGCCCGCTGACGGTACACCCATCGTCCACTCAGGTCCGTCTGTTTCGCTCTATTCTCGTACCCGGTCCTCCAACCTTGTGTAGTCAAGAAAATTCCGCAGCTGCCATGGCCCGATATAGGCCACCTCGCCAAGTGGTCGGTCTCGTCCCACAAGTTCGGTTTCGGCCCAGAGTGTCTAACCGACGACGAACCAGATACTTTCTGGCAGTGCGTCGTTGTTCTACGATGTAATGCTACTGTAGTTGTTCATTCGATGCCACATCTAGCTCGGATGGCCCACAGCCTCACTTCATCACCATCGAGTTCCCGCGGAAGGTCGCCATACAGGTAAGAATTTTATTCCGTATGATGGGAGTGTTCATCTTCTCACTCGGATCCTCTGTCTCGCACCGCGCCTTTCGGGCGACCATTGTGTTGCACGCAAAGAAATTGAGCGTTTACCTTTCATTTCCTCTCGATGACTCCTACACGCCTGCTACTCTCGCTGTCCGAGCGGGCACTGGCCCCACTGACCTTCAAGACGTGCGTATTGTCACCCTCGAAAAGCCCGACGGCTGGATCACGTTCGACGTGAGCGCCGAGCCTAACGAGGACGGCGACGGCTGGTGCGTGCCATATTCTATTTAGCCCTCAGCTCTCGGTGAACAAAGCGTCATATCGAACTCCAGCAAGTCCATCAACGCTTACATGGTCCAGATCATCATTCTTGCCAACCACATGAACGGGAAAGACACGCACGTTCGTGGGCTCCACATCCTTGGGCCTATTGAGTACGTCATTCAACATACTTTCTCCGTAATCTGCCCTTTGGATATTCACGTCGGTGGCTTCCACTGTAGAGATACGCCAGCAGACAATGAAGAACCGTTTCCCTGGACTTCTCCTACTTTCAAGATGTACGAATGTATCCGCTGACTCTGGTCATATGGTAGCAGCTCGTGGAATTAGTGGTGGTTGTACCGATATGGATGTTGTATTCCCAAGTTTTTGTTTCCAGATTGTAGATCTTGTGAGTCGTCATGCCTTGCTCGATGTATCGGAATTTGACTATCCACTGATAGGTGGGCATGTAATGATAGGTGGGCATACAGCGTGGAAATGTTCTGCCCAGTGAAGGCCGTCACGTTTCGACGTTTTGCTCCCAACGTCTCAGGGCCATGTTGAGTGATTCAAGGAAGCGAGACTATGCTACAGCTGATGTTGGTCCAGAATACGGGGTATGCATCCACTTGTTGGCCAGATCGTGGTACACCTGCATTTCTACTCCCGTGCGGACGTCCACTGCCATCACGCATGTGACGTTTCCGTCTTTCTTTCGCTCCAAGAGTCTCGACATCGCGGGCGACTTGGGGTCTCATTGGCGCGGCGCAAAGTGAAGGCCTCATCCGTGCTGTCGCGGCTCGTGAAATGTCACTTGCCACTGACATCAAATAGCGTCGCCGTTGGACGGGCCGCTTGCACTGCGCAGCACACGCAGCTGCTACATCGCGAGTGTAAGGCGAGACCACCACAACCGGTGGTGGGTGTATTTCCCGACGCAACTCCCGTCGGGAGCGACACTCATCACACCGAATGTGAGTGATGGCGGCGTCTTTCCTTCTGACCTGGTGTCAACGAGCGAGACGGTATGTCGTCGTAGGTGGTGTGCGACCAATGTGTGGACAGTCACCGTCCACTGAGAACGGTATAAAATACCGCAAGGACGCAAGAGCCATAGTCTGCTCTTCGCTCTTCTGCGCTAGAAGCACCACGCTCATTGTCGCGACGCCTGTCTATACTATTCGCATTCAGTGAGTATTTCAAATGCTGACCTGCATGCGCGGATTGCATTCTAATGTATGATGCAGGCCCTCCTCAAAACTGTTTACTTTCATCATGGCCAAGTGTTGCTTTGCAAACTGCGGCCAGCTCGTAGATAGCTCCTACGATGCTGTGAAAACGCACCTGATCAATGCCCATGGAGTGCAACCGAACTCTCCAGCTTGCGGCCAATGCATGTGGGCGGGCTGCGGCAGGACCGTTCAGCTCTCCTCCCTTGTCCGACATGTCCTCTCCCAGCACATCAACAGGGAGGGCTAGTGGTATAGGGGATATCATTGGCTAATAGATGATTCGTTGACAATTGTATCATCAAATCTGAGACCTTCGTAGATCGCTGCCATGATGCTACCGAAGTGCTCTTCGTTTGACCATAGACCGAGCAAGTGCGACAGAACGGCCGCGTCTGAACTTCGCTGCACCATGTACAGAATCGTCTCATTGGTCGACGTGCTGTATGAATCATCGCGCGAATGACCGCGGCTGTACCGGTCATAGTAGCCCGCGTATTCGACCTTCAACTTACAGCACATATGGACAGACTCAGGGTGCATGTTCTGTCACGGCACGCATTCCTTTGCAAGGGGTGGTCGCGCGATTGCAAACCTCCATACGACTTTCCCCACCTACTTTGTTCAGTGGGCGTCCTTGGCAGACTGTACAACCCGTTTCATGGTCAGACTCGAAGCGCTGTGGGTCACTCTATCAAGCTTCGAATCAAACATCGACATCCATTAATTGAAAAATACAACACTGACCATCCGACATTACACGAGATATAGCGATGATAGCGAATTCAAGAACAGAGTCCGAGGCGGAGAGCCATACTACTGTATGTATCTAGAGGGACTCGCTAAGTACAACAAAACCGACAAACGTATGACATCCCATCGGGCCATTCGCAACGGAGAGAACATGTGTGCTCAGTACCTTCCGCCATTCCCATGCGGCACCGATGCTCCTGGGGTATGGTGCCAACCGTTTTGCTGAGGCTGGGCATGCCCACCTATGCCTCCTCCGCCCTGCATGAACGCAAGTGACTCTGCAGCAGAACGAACAGCGCTATCGTGCGGGGGCAAATGGCCATTCGAGCTACTTGAGGATGCCCACTGCGAAGTGCCGGCAGCACCTTGTCCATGCCCAAAGTCAGGTTGCGGACGAGCCGACATGGAGGCAGTGTTCTGCGGATTGGAGTTTAGCGGCCAGAACGGATTACCACATAGAATCAAAGAAAATCGCACCTGATACGAAGTTGCGCTCATCCCGGCATGTGAGCCTCCGCCTTGCCCATATTGCTGTTGGGGCTGCGCACTCGAGTAACCGTTCGTCCATCCGTGACCAATCGGGGGCGAAGGCGTGCCCTGCTGAGAGTTGCGTATGCTCGTGAAGGCGCGATTCTCCGGCTGATAGTGTGAGAAGGTGAGCCCGTTTTGTGTCCTCGTGTAGCCAGGCTGGAGAGCTGCGTCTTGTCTCGGATATGATGTGTGGTTGAAGTCCGCACCGTTGCCGGCTGCGTAGCTGGACTGTGGGCGAGGAGGATCCCGGTAATACGCTTGTGGTGCGACCACAGACTTTTGCGGATGGATGGATGGATCGACAGCAGCCTGAGACCAGGACGACGACTGCGAATGATGAGACTGCGGCACCGGATATCGCTGGTGATTCGAGGCGATATAAGAAGTACCATTGGAGGCCCGGGTACGACATGGTTGGCAGTAGAACTGTTGGCGCTCCCAATCTCTGCGCGGACGGCCCAAACGCTGATCAGCCAAGTCATGGCAGCCAATGTGTTGCCATTTTGAGCACATGCCGCACGAGACCATAGGCAGGCCATCGTCCTGAAGCCAAAAGCCATGAGTCTAAAAAAATCACATGGAGGCTAAGATTGACTTACGAGATTCACTCCACGCTTGCCGCAAATCTCACAGTCTAGCACCCAACCGGGCGTCTGGGTACCCGCGGGCGTCGGAACGGTACTGAGCAAGACAGATTCGGCCGAATGAGTGCCCGCGGCAGGTGTGCTAGTCGATGCACGTTGTTCCTCTGCTTGCTCACTGTGGAACAGAGGTGAGACTACGTGCCTAACGATTCCATCAAATCGCGCACCGTCGCCGAGCGCGCTCCTCCTTCTGCCTAGCTCGCTCCTCGCGCTCTTCTCTCTCAAGGCGCCGTCTTTCTCTCTCCTTGTCGCGTTTCTCGCGCTCATCTTCTTCCTTCTTCGCACGAGCCTCCATCCGCTTGGCTCGAGAGAGCTTCTCATCTTCTTCCGCTTTCTTTCTCACCGCTTCCCGCTGCTGCTCTTTCTCGCTCTCCTTTGTCGCTATCCGCGACGATCGCTTGCGGTGGACCACCGCCTCCTCGATTTTCTTGCGCTTCTCCGCTTCCTGGTGAACAATACACTGTTAGATTATCTCGCTGTATGAAGGAAGACAGTAGCCATACCCTCAGCTCCGCAGTCACTACGGGCACGATATTCTGCGTGAGCATCTTGTACAACGCCTTCTCTAAGTAGTGAGTCGCCTTCTCGAAGCGCTCTGCGATGTGCTCCCATTCGTGCAGCGTCACACATATCTAGGTGGTCGTCAGAAAGTAGGCACAGCGTCTTCATGGAAAACGCACCGTATCCCATTCCACGAAATCATCAGGCAACATGGAGGGTTCGTCCGTGGGCTCCTCTAAGTGATCGAGTTCTGCAGCATCGCCAGATTCCCCTGACTGCCCTTGTGCGACATCGTCCTCCTGAGCTTCCGACTGCGCAACCTCTGCAGCTCGAGCCCTTTTCCTGGACCGAGTTGACCGACCCGTCGATTTCGGAGTAGGTTCGTGCTGCACTTCTTGCGTCCCAGCCGTCTCTTCCGGCTCCTCGGACACCGAGAGTTCTGTGAGTTCACTGGCGGCATCGCTCTCCAAGCCGGTCTTGGGCTCGTCAGACGGAATGACGGGCTCCTCAGCAGGGACTTCTTCCTGGAAGGCGACCGCCTTGCCCTTGCCCTTCCGAGCGCTACTTCGTGTTGGCAGCCGTGGAGAAGACTCGGCCTCATGCAGCCATTCATCGGGTATCTGCTGCCATTCGTCGTCTTCACCGTCCTCATCTTGTGTACCACGAAGCCGGGCGCTCGTCCGTGTGCCCAATGCTGCTTTCCTCGGCGACCGACTCGACCGCGTCGGGCTCGATTGCGGAGTCTCTGCCTGACCTCTGCTCGGTCGCGTCGGTCGAGATGACCTATTTGCCGCAGCGAGGGCGGCGGCCTGACGCTGGAACTCGGCAAGCTCCTTCGCCTGCACGTCTAGTTTCTTGTTCGCCTGCATCTTCGCCGCGCGTGTGCTGCCGCGGCCACCACTAGGCTCAGGCTCGGGTTCCGGAGCTGACTTGCGACTACGCGTGGAACGAACGGCGGGGCGTTGCGGGCGAGCGGCCGGCTTGGCAGGGGAGCGTTGGGTTCGTTTGCGCTTGGGTGACTGTTCGGCCTCGGAATTGTACTCGTCATTATCAAGCTTGCTCGTGGACGGTTGGGCAGTAGACTTCCTCGCAGCAGGCCGTTTGCGCTTCAAGCCTTTGGGAGGTCTCGGGGGAACGCGCTGGAGCCACAGTCGATCCGCTAGGGTGGCAGAATTAGTAGACTCAATATGGATTCTGAGGTGCGGAACATACGACCGATCAACCAATAAGCGTTTGTTTTAGCGTCGTATCCTATCGGCTCAATGCGCTGGTTTCACGAGACCCAGAGTGAAAAGAGGGTCACGGTTAGCGGAGGGCCTACGACAATGATTAAGGGTGAATTACCCAGCTCGCGTGCTCGTCGTCACTCTTCATCATTTGACGCAGGCGATTTGAGTTTTGAAATTGCCACTCCGTTAGAAGATGCATGGAATCCAGCTTGTCCAACATGGGTAGCTCCAGCCAGTCCTTACTCTCTTCTGTCTCTGCTGGCGGGCCTTGCTCACCGGCGCCTTCCTCCTTCACGTCAGCTTCGGGCTTAACGGAGCCGTCTCGGAGATCTGTTTTGTTCTCCTCGCCGTCGGTTTGGGCAGCCTCCACATTCTCCCCGTCGGGCAGCTCAGAGGGATGGTCTCCGCCAGCGGCGGGGCTGGCAGCGGTGCTTTCGTTCTTGATTTCAACGGCCGAAGGCTCAGAGAGTTCCCGCGTGGGCTGACGAGACTCGGTGGGAGGCTCAGGGCCGATCGGATTGGCGGCTGGGTCGCGTCTCATGTACTGCTTGCGGAGGGCGGTTTGCCAGTTGTCAATGCTGGATGCGCACGCGGTGAGAAGATGCGATGGTTGAAAAGAGCTGATGACGCACGATATCTTTCTGTCCTGAGTGAGGGTATACAGAAGCCTCGTCATGATGCGAGGAAGGTATATAGCCACGCCGCGGGCGAGATCGTCTTCAATGTCCTGTTGAACAACGGTCAGCACGGTTGCCACAGCGTATCAGCGACTCCGGCGGAGTGAGGGGCATCGGGCAGAGCATCACAAAAGATAGACTCACGACGAGGGTGACATCGTTCATGGCGAAGAGGGGCGCGAAGGTGTAGAAGAACTGGCTGAAAGCGGCCCATTTCCAGTGTCGTCTGAGGAGGCGGAGGTTGGCAGCCCATTCGGGGTCAGAGAGCTCGAGCTGGGCGGGGTCCTTGGGCAGGACGGCGGGTAGAGGCGGGGGAGCGGGAGTCGCGGGAGTTAAGGTGCGTCGAGGCATCGGAGGCGCAGGCGTCCGACCTTTTTAAAGCAACTGAACCCGGACGGCCACGAGCCAACGCGACGAGAGAGACGAGGTGGTCGCCGCTGTGTGCAGCCAGCAGAGCGCGTCTGTGCAGGCGGTGTCGGTGCGGAGACGCGGCGGGGCGGCGGCGGGGGCGTGCGGGGAACGGAGGACGACGACGAGGAGACAGTCGCGGTCAACGCGAACGCGACACCACAGCGCCCCCACGCGCCCCTGCCATATCCGGCAACCAGTCACGGGGTCCCTGCACCTCCGACCGCCACAGTCGCTGGGCCACAGTCAATGCCAGACATGCCCGACTCAGCACGCAATGTCGTCCAGCCAGACACCGCCCTCCACATCCGTGTCACAAACCACGGCAAAATTCAGACTTGCGTCCAGTTCGCGCTCGCGTCTCTCGAGGTGGGCATTGTTCGCAGTGCTCCGATTGCAGAGGCCAATGTGTAGTCGCGTAGGAACACCCAGACAGACCTGTGACCTTCCACACGATGCCTGCGGCCAAAGGCAAGGCGGTCGACCGTTCTGAAGCCAACAATTCAGTCGCCCCAACGAAAGACCAACCTGGCGGATCGGGGGCCGCAGTCAGCAAGAGACCACATAACCACACATCAATGACAACGATTCCTCGCCTCATCAGCGTCGTAGAGATCGTCAAAAGAGAGCACCTGAAGACCCTCGATCCTGCGTTGTCTCAAGCGGGGAAACTTTCAGGTCTTCACCAATATAATGAAATCGGCGAACTAGAGCCAGAGGAGCCGGAAGATGCTCTGAGTCCTGAAGAGGAGAGGCAACGGGCCATTACTCTCGCATTGTCCAGCAAGCGCCAGTGAGTGAATACCTCTCCGCGAATGACACCGTTGCCAACCTCCATCAGTCTCAGGCAGCACAAGGTTGCCTACATGAAGGTCACCCTGTCTCGTAAAGAACTGCCCGACTTGGTGCCCACCGGCGCGACGTGAGCAGCCTCTCAGTCGTCACTCTGTCATAACCACAACGCCCTGTATCTAGATACCAGCAGCCGGAGATCCGTGCACTATCCAAGTCTGCCAGAACACGTCTCAAACGAAAGCTGAAGAAGTCTGACGCGGCTACCTGACGCGGCTGCCGTTGTGTCGCTCGTGGTTGCACTCGCTGGCTCAAGTCTCCGGCAGCCCCAAAGCTACCGAGCAGCCTCTTGTAGACTTGGCGAGATTGGTGGCGGACCAATGCCGTTCGGACCTTGAGCTGACGTGCTGTCTAGAGCACGCCAGGTGGGTTTGTTTCTCAGAGTTGTTCTATCTCAGTATTGCTGGAGGCCCACCGCGTCCAACTACGGATGTATTTCGAGATTACACGGACCTTACATACTGTCGACTTGCGACGACATACATAGGTCAACTACGAATACACTTACATATGTTACGAGCTTTATCGTCTCGCCATACCATCACGCAGGAAGTTACACAGAGAGCGGCCCGAAAGGCCAGACATCATTGCCACGCATGTGGTCAAGAATACAGGAGAAGCATACACTATCTAGGGAATCATGACGATCGTTGGAAGAGACATGCATCTACAGCTCGATGTTGACCTCGACACATAACACAGTCTAACAGAACATTACGACCGACGGCGCGGCGCGGTAGGATTATATCGTCCGAGTCCCCAAGGAAGAGCAAGATGCGGGAGGCCAACAGGCCGGAGAGGCACGAAGCAACCCAGAAGAACGCGGAGGCTCCCAGCATGCCACGTTTTTACCAGCGGTCGTTCTTGCCGCCGTAGCCATTGTCGTGGCCACCGTGGCCGCCGTAGCCGCCTCCACCTCCGCCGCCGCCGCCGAACCGGCCACCACCTCCGCCACCACCGCGGCCACGACCACCACCGCCGAAGCGACCTGAGAATGCCATTAGTTACCAGGATCCCATATACGACAGCAAGCACTTACTGCGACCGCCACCACCGCCAAACATCGACATCTCCTCGAGCTGAGGCGGCACGTGCGCCTTCGCCTCACGAAGAATAGCGATGAGCTCACGAGCCGACTTGGCATTGTCGGTAGTGAAGTACGTGTACGACGTCCCCTTCATGCCAGCACGCTGTAAGGCAGAGTCAGCCTGCGACTTGAGAAAAACAATGTGCCGCCACATACCCCAGTACGACCGATACGGTGGATGTAGTCCTCGCAGTTGTTAGGGAAGTCATAGTTCTGTTCAACAGTTGATCAGCAAGGTGCAAGCGAGACAGGCGAAGTGAGACTCACGAGGACATAGCCGACATCCTTCACGTCTGCGCGTGGAACAAAGCCAGCAGACCCGCAGAGACACAAACCGTGAAAGACACGCACGGTCGAACAGGCAATGACGGACGGCACATAGAAGAAGACACAGACATGGTCAGAAAAGACAACACAACACGAACGCAAAGCACAAGCGCTCGACAGCAACGTCCGCAGGCTAGTCCCAGGTCACCTCAACCGCGGCTGCAGCTGAGGTCTCAACGTCCGAGCTACTGACAGGCAAGTCTTGTACGCGCCAACCCCAGTGTTGAAGGCGAGCGAACTCGGTTCCCTAGATTCTGCTGCTCTCGTCCGTAACCAGTACCATTTACCATACGAAGAGCAGTATCACTGTTCGTGTTAGGTCGGACCTTGTACGCCACGCAACCCAGAGGATGCAGCGTAGCCAGGTCCGGTGGGTAGGTCAGAGGGAAGCTGTAGCAACAATCAGGAAGTTCGCCATTTCTGGGTGCGCGTGTTGAACGTCTTGGCCTGTCTTGCTCCGGCATCGAATGACCTTATGTAACGCAACCACTGCCATCTGCAGTCCAGCGTTCGACTAGGGCAGACACTCCTTCCGAGCATCCGCACTCATGCTGCAAAGATGTCGTAGCGCTTGCCACTCGAAATGAAAACATACCAAGACCACGCGACGCAACATCGGTCGCAATCAGGATAGGCGAGCGACCAGCCTTGAACTCGCTCAATACCCAATCACGCTCACGCCTGCGGATTGAGGTAAATGCGATGTACACAGAGACCAGCAGAACTGTAACTTACTGCTCCTTATCACCGTGGATGGCCAACGCTGGCCACCCGTCTTGACGGAGATACTTTGTGATATCATCCGCGACTCGTTTTGTGCCGACGAAGATCAGTACTTTCGCGTTCTCTTGACTAATTTGGTCGAGGTGCTTGATGAGCTTCGACCGCTTCTCAAAGTCGCTGCAGACTTCGACGATTTGCTGGATGTTGTGGTTGGCAGTGAGCTCCGTGGAGCCGATGTTGACTTGGATGAAGTCTTTCAAGAAGTCCTGAGAGGAACCGATGAACAACCGAACTAAGCACACAAAGGAAGCACACTCACGTTCGCCAGCTTCTGCACGTCCTTCGGCCAAGTGGCAGAGAACATCAGTGTCTGTCTGTCCGGTCGAATCTGGGCAACGATCTTCCTGATCTGAGGCTCGAAACCCATGTCAAGCATACGGTCGGCCTCGTCCATGACGAGGTAGGTGACACGCCGAAGGTTCGTCTTCTGTGTCTCAAGCATGTCAATCAACCGACCCGGCGTCGCGATGACGATCTCGACACCGCGCTGCAGGTCACGGATCTGGGGACCCTTGGGTGCACCGCCGTAGATGGCAGTATTGCGGATTTTGGAGTTTGAGCCGAACTTCGTGCACTCTTGCTGAATCTGCACCGCGAGCTCACGGGTCGGGGCGAGGATCAGTGCGATGGGACCATCGCCAGGTGCGAGGAGCGGTTGCCTAAGGTATGAGTCAGTGGATTGTTCGACCAAGACTGTGCCATAGCCAACTTACGCATTGATGTGCAGCATGGCCGGCAGAGCGAACGAAATGGTCTTGCCACTTCCGGTTTGTGAGATGGCGACAACATCCCTACCGGTGAGCGCCATAGGCCACGCTTGGCACTGAATGGGGGTAGGCGCGGGGAAGCCCTGCGCGCGAATGGTCGACATGATGTACTCGGGGAAGCCGACCTCCTCGAAGGAGGCGACGGGCCGCGGGACGTCGCGCCCTTGCACCTTCATCTCCTTGGCCTTCCGGAACTCGTCAACCTCGCGGTCGCTCAGCGCTTTCACCCGCTTGTCCTCGACGTAGAAGTTTTTTTCAAAGGTCGTGAGCTTATGTGCGCTCCAGTCGACGGTGCGCAGCCCGTTGCCGAGGCGACCCATGCGATCTTCTCCTCCACCGCCCCAGCTGCCTCCGCCAGAGTGTCCTCCACCACCACCGAAGCCGCCGCCGTAGCCGCCGCCGCCGCCGCCACCGCCACCGCCTCCGTAACTACCACCGTAGCTGCCACCGTAAGACTGGTGAAAAAAAAAGTTGTCAGTCAAATTCGCGTTGTATGGAATTTCAACAGAAGAGAGCACACCATTTTTGAGCTAGAATAAAGGAAACGAGGAGATCAAGGGCGCAACGAGGTGCGATGGGGTGCGGGGGATGCTCTGGCGAGGGGACAAGAGAAGAGGATGGGCCGGAGCCACGCACCGCACGCTGCTTATATACCCCCGGGACCCCGCGCACCCCACTTTGCAAAGTGGCACCGGCTGCCGAGACCCCGCTATCCGGCGCTTAAGTGCTCGACATTGTTCAGCCCAGACAAGCTTGCTCGTCCGTTGTGATCTCACAAACATGCAACTTATCTGCGCGCGAGTCACTATCCAAGACCAAAGATAGAGGCTGACTACCAGATGAGTCCATTGTAGGTGCAAAGCAAGCTGTAATCCATACATCGAAGCAAGGAGCACACACATACATAGAAAGCATATTGCGGGACGGTGAATGCTAGATGGGATGATGCGGGGAAAGCGGGGATGACGATAGCGTTATGTATGCAACAGGGGTATAAGTGAGTTCTAACATACGGCGGAAATATTACATCTGCGGCGGCGAGTCAGACGGACGTCGAAAGACACAGAGCAGCGGAGAAACGCACCGGATGGGTGGTGAGACGTGACTGCGACCGGAAACCGGAAACCAAAGGAGTGGGATGCATCCGAAAACGGCGGAGACGACGGGAGCGGAGGAGAGACAGCTGGGACGGGTTCACATAATAATACACGGGTCCTTCTTGAGCTTGCTCCGGACTGGGTGCTTGTCCGGGTAGCGCTTGCGCATTTGGCGGACGAGGTCTTCGAAGACGTCGGTGACGTGCCAGTTGCGTTTGGCGGAGGTCTCGTAGAATGGGAGCTTCCACGACTGGGCAAGCTCGTGGATGGTTGCGCGCGGGACTTCGCGCTCGTTGCTCTGTGGTTCATGTGAGCCACGACGGATGGGAGCGAGAAGCAAACGGACCAGGTCGAGCTTCGTGCCGACGACAACAATGGGAACGTCCTGTGCACATGGGGTGAGCGAGGGCGGTGGTGTGCGACACGGCACGGACCTCTTCTGTTCCCTTGGCGAGGTATATTTGTTGCCGGATGCTGTCGATGTCACGGAGGCTGGACTCTTGTGTGAGACTGGAGCAGCGGAGTGAGCGGGTGCACGACGCGGAGAAAGCAGCGGGCGGACCTGAATACGAGCAAGAAGCCGCGGGCGTTCTGCAGGTGGTGGTGGGCGGTGAGCGGGGCGCGTAGTGAGCGGGCAGAGACAGACCTTGAGGTACTTTTCGTTGAGGGCGGTGAACTGCTCAGTGCCGGGTGTGTCGAGGATCTCGAGCTGGAGGGGGTGAGCGGCGTGCGCGGGGACGGAGAGCAGTACATACGACGCATTTGTGGCCGTCGACGATGAGCTCGCAGCGGTACTCCTCTGGAAGGGGGTCGGTCAGCAGGCGGGGAGAGAGGGCGGGGGACATGCCTTCGATGGTGGGGTTGTACTGGTCGATGAAGACGTTCTTGCCAAAGCGGATGGTGAGGGCAGACTTGCCGACGCCTCCGGCTGCGGGCGAGTTAGCGGGTGGGTGAGGACTTGGACGAGGACGCACCGCCGAGGACGACAGCGTTGAACTTGCGCATCGGGGCGAGGGCGCGTCGCGGACTTGGAGGCGTTTAAAGCGTGGCGTGTCTGCCTCCTCCCCTCCATCTCTCGGCTGCCTAGCTCGCCATGCCCAACCCACGCCTCTTTCTCGACTTCGCCATCGACTCTGCGCCCGCAGCCAGGTCAGCAGCCCCGTCCCATCAGAGCCTCACCCAGCCCTGATTATCCCCTTCCAGAGTCGTCTTCGAGCTCTTCGCCGACACCGCACCGAATACCGCAGAAAAGTACGTCCTCCCGCGTGTGTCTCCGTTTACGTGCGCGTTGCCATCCTCTGTCTGTCCAGCTTCCGCGCCCTGTGCACCGGTGAGAAGGGCCTCTCGCCCCTCTCCGACCGCCCGCTCTACTACAAGAGCAGCATCATCCATCGCTCTATCCAGGGCTTCATGATCCAGGGTGGAGGTGCGTACACCCGCCCGCCCTTGCTGTCTCACAGCCGACCCTCCACGCAGACTTCACCAAGCGCAATGGCACTGGTGGCGAATCCATCTATGGCGGCACGTTCCCGGACGAAGACCTCACCCGCCCACTCGACTCTGAGGGCCTCCTCTGCATGGCCAACAAGGGCCCCAACACCAATGGCTCCCAGTTCTTTGTCACGCTGCGGGAATGCCCCCATCTCAACGGTGGGCTCCTCTCCATCATCTCTGCACACACCTCTGACGCGTCGCGCAGGCAGACACGTCGTGTTCGGACGCGTCATTCGTGGCTACGATGTCATACAAAAGATAGCGGACGTTCCTACAGACGCGAAGGATCGCCCGACCGTGCCCATCACTATCGTCAACTGCGGGGAGCTTGTTCTCAAGAGTAAGGTCCAATCTCAGGAGCCTGAACGTGCGTCCCTTCCCTTCCCCCATCCATCCCTGCCTTGACCACATCCCGCTAGCAAAAGCTGCGTCACCCACGTCGGAAAGCGAAAGCGAACGTCCCGACGACGAGCGCAGACATCGCAAGAAGCGTGGGCGCCACCGCTCCTACAACTCGGACGACGACCGCGACTCTGTGGCTGGTGATGACTCCGACCGCGAAAAGAGACACCCAAAAAAGTCCAAGCACAAGCACGCATCCAAGGACAAGGACAAGTCAAAGTCAAAGGGTAAGAAAGACAAGGAACGCGACCAGTTGCCCTCAAGGACGCCAACCATGCCCATGCCTCCTGGGGAGGAGACGGAGGAGCAATACGATGCGCGGCTGGAACGCGAGGAGAAGGAGCGACTCGAAGAGGCTAAGCGGCGAGAGTTGGAGAGGCTGCGGCGAAGGCTGGAGGAACAGGAGGCCAGCGAGTCGAACAATGGGGTGCGGTTCAAAGGTGCGTATCTCCCGTGAATGGGAAGGCCAGCCGGCGTTGACGAGCGATGTCTAGGACGTGGGCGAATGAAATACGTCGACCCAGAAATGAGAGGCCATCGAGATATGTAAGGGGGTTGTGTTTTGCCTTGGAGTCTTCGTTGGTACTTTCTCTTACAACGCACTGAAATTTGTCACGCTCACTCAGGGCCACTGCTGCTGGAGCGCCCTCTTGCACATATCGACTCTCGACTGATGACCTAAGCTTGCCGTAATACTGCCTAGCATTCTGATATCTCGTATATCGTACAACATATATACGCACGTCCCCGTCGTCCAATCGAACATTCGTGATCATCCAGCCACCATCGTCGCTTCTTCTACTTCTCTGCAACCGATCGCCGTTCATGAGTTCCACACCGCCGACGTGCCAAGGTGACGAATCACGTACTCGTTCCCATCTTGAACCATTTGGGCACCTTTTTCTCCGCCGGCGGTGCTTCCGGCGCTGGCTGGCCTGACAGTGTCCGCCCTGCCGGAGCCGCGGACCCCTCACCTGTACTTTTCTCCTCTAAGTCGAAATTCGGTGGCTTGGGAAGGTCCTCGGCCGCAGCGAGGATGGAGGGATCGAGCGGCGCAGGGACATCAGTTTCTGCACATTCAGTTCTTGTGTGAGTAACCTCTGCAGCGAGAGCATAAGGAACCCGTACGGTTGAGGCTCTCGTCAAAGAAGCTGAGGAGGAGGACAGAAGAGGGTGCCAGTTGTAGTCCAGCCAGGGTGAGCTCGCGCACGTTCGGGTCGGACACTTTGAACTCGCGTTTCGGCGGCGTTTGGTCTGCAAGTCCGTCAGCGTAGAGTTACTAGAGATGTTCAAGGATGCGACATACAGAGCACAAACTTGATGGGCTTCACGTCCTCTCGCAGCGAGTTGCGGACAAAGGCGTACACAGACTTGATCTTGTCCGTCGAGGGGAATGTCTTCTCTAGCTGACTGCGATCGCTGAACTTGATTCGGATGGTGGTCTGCGCATGCAACCGCGTTCGTTGCGTCACAAGAAATCAAGCGAAAGATCGAATGGACATACGGTAGGCCATCTCGCACGTTTCGTCTTCTCCTCAGCCTCCCGCATTGCCTGTGTCTTGAGCGGAGCGTTGTTCAATGCCAGCGTCCGCGCCGACAACGATGCCTGCGCCCGCTTCAAGTCTGTGGTGCTGGGCTGGAAATACGAGTCGGGGAGATCCTCTGGAGAGGGAGGAGGGTGCGGCGAAGAGCCATTGATCAGCGGCGTGAGCGCGATCGGATGGACAGACCTACATACTGCGTTCTATCCCTCCTTGGGGAGGTCGGAAGTAGCGAAAGGGCGGCTGTCCGCTGCCATCCTCGGTGCTCGTGCTGGGGGTCGCGGTGTTCAACGGCGCCTGGGCCACTGGTGCACTGGACGCTTCCGCCATGGCTGAGTTGCCTGTGAGCCGATGTGCCTCGGTGGTGAGTAGAGCCGTACTTTGTCTCAGGGAGGTGATGAACGCGGGGGTCGAGTGAAGTTCAGCGCTCACTAGATTGGCACGCTTAGCTAAGGGAAGGGACGGGAACGGTCTCGAATTCACCGGTACAGATAGATACACTAGACACAACTACTGTTACAAAACCTAGATGCGAGTCCCTGCAAAGACAATCCGTCAGCAAAGCGTCTGAGATACAGACAGACAGAGAGATGGTCAGGAAGAGTAAAAGTTGTCTCACGGCGTCCATCCCAGGGCACACCGGCGAGTGGCCCCTTTGGTGTGGGATGGACAATCGAACGCAAATTACAAGAGTATGCATCATCCACGGCCACAGTCGAGACCACGTACTCACCAGCGATGGGCAGTCTGCGACAGTCTGCGAGGTGGCGGTCGAGGACGGGAGGCAGACGCAGCGTCCCATTTTGCAGACAGCGCGTTGTTGATCTTTGTTTGCGCCGGTGGCTGCTCCATACATCGCCTGAGCCACTGACAGTCTGAGACTACAACCACCACGCCCACTCGCCATGCCACACACCCACGACCACGGAAACTGTAACGACGAGCACCATGACCATCACCACGATATTCCGGAAGGCACAGGGCCCCGGGACAACCTCTACTCCCACATTGACCGCGACAATGTCATCGTGCTCAATGCGCAGGCTCCGGCAAACGGCCCAGAGGTCATCAAGCCTTGGGACCAGCGACTCGATGAGGAAAAGGTACGTCTTCGTGTCACTGGTGATTTTGAGATGTCAGCGGCGTAGACCGCTCGTCCTCAAGTACATCGAGTCCGATGCCGATGATCAAATGTGAGCCGCCCTGTATCGTACTCGCGACTTATTAGCAACTCTCAACCCTCTCAGCATCATCCGCGTTCCATTCACTGGAGCAGTGAAACTGCGTGCAATCCTCGTCAAATCGGGTCCAGGAGATCAGACCCCCGCAAAGATGTCAATTGTAAGTTCGTCGTACCCGAGTGAACCAAGCCGATGCCGACACCGTGTCCAACAAGTTCAACAACCTCGAACACGTCGACTTCTCCAACATCACCGACATGAAATCGGTACAGGAATTTGACGTTGCACAGGGCAGGGACATTGGCGAATATCACGTCATGTACGTCCACGTTCAGAATAATCGCACATGCGTTGATTCACAACGTCTGCGGTGTACAAGGCCAGCCAAATTCTCCAGCGTCACCTCCGTCACGTTGTTCTTCCCGGAATCTCAAGGCGCCGATACGACACGGATCTATTACGTTGGCTTCCTCGGAACGTTCAGCGGCGAGGTGCGTCCGATACAGACTTCGATAGGTTTCGTACGCCCTGAGGGATCTTGGTGTTATAGCGCAAAGGCCAGCCGATTATCACTGTCTATGAGTCGCGACCGAACATAGCAGACCATCCGAAGATCACCGAGGCGTTACCCAACATGCAAGGATAGCTTCGAGGTCTTGTTCGGTAAAAGCGCGAATCGAACAGTAGTAATCAACATTGTACCATAACTGAAATGACGTCCGTGTAGTCTGAATGTATCACTACTTCGTTTGCATGGACTCGGTCATCGAATGACACGGTGGAACACGCGACTTGGGTCGTACATAGTAGCCGTCATGTCATGAGTACTCTAGTGATACAAGTGCGGTAGTACCCGCCGTGAGATACAACAATTGGTACAGAACAGACAACACCTTGCAGATCGCGCAAACCGCGTAACACCCTTCTCACAATCCAAATCCTGCACCCATACCGCCGCTCATCGCCCCGCCTCCGCCTCCCGATCCGTCCTGACGTCGTTGCATGAACGACTGCATCATCTCATGACTGAGGTTGACGCCGCTCATCCCGCCCATGTTCACGTTGCCTGCCCCTCCACTCGGTACGCGCTGATGCATGCCCATGGCATTGGGAGATGCGTTCGGCACCCTGTTAGGCATCTGCGCCTGTGGTTGAGGGTTGCCTCCGCCGAGCGATAGCATCTGATCTAGAGATGGTCTTACGTCGTTCACGAACGGATTCATCGGGATGAGAGTGTTCAAATTGTTCGGCGGGATGGGCTGGCGCTGCTGGGAAGGAGGCTGTTGCTGCTGTGACGGCTGCGAGGTCACTATAGGAGGCCCCATCGTGGCAATCGTCGTGTTCCCCTGCATCGCATCTTGCGTTTGGGGTTGCGTCTGAGGTTGGGGAGGTGCAGCGGCTTGCCGGTTTTGCTGTACCTGCAGCATGCGTAACCGCTGTTGTTCTTGCAATCGCTGACTGTAAATGCGCAGATGCTCTGCAAGCTTCACCTGCTTCTCGCGCGGGCCCGCGGTCTCCAGTTCGGCTGCGTCCTTCGGGCTCAAGCCCAGCAACAACTCGGACATGTGCAGGGGGACCGCGGAGACGCGGAAGCCTCCCACAAGCAGAGGCGGGAGCTCGGGAATGCCGCTTGGGCCGGTGAAGTATGCGCCAGCAAAGTGTCCAGGCCGAGAAGGGAACAGCAGCAATTGCTTCAACGAAGGCATACCAGAGGGATTTGGAAAGCCGACCACCGCGTACTACTCGTCCTCTGATTAAAAACACCAACACAGACATTGTGACTAGACGTACTCTGTGCGATGATGCGATGGACCGCCAAATGGCGTTGCAACGCTCTTCATTCTGCTTCGCGTCGCTCGCGCCACTATGGGGCATCAGCATCGTTGGTATGAATTCGGGTGAGCGCGTCTTCAACCACTCCTGCAATTTGGTGATCTGCAGCCTGAACTCAGTTGTCGGCTCCAATGTTAAACTTTGCGGCCACTGGAGCGCACGCCTGTAGGACACAGCCCCCGTTGTTCATGAGACAGTACAAGGTCTATGCGCACGAACCACTTACAAGGCATCTAGTGACTTAACGACCATGTGAGCCTGCATCGGCCGGCCAGTCGTAGAATCGACCCAGGTGACAGGCCCGTCCCACACGGGGACATAAATAGAGGGAGCACCTTGGGATGGCTGCGGGACCTGACTCTTGACCATGGCGGGCGACGGTGGCTCGTTTAGTGGGCCGGAAGCCAAGGACGGGAGATTCGGTAGATCAGGTCCTGGCGGCTGCGGGGGTATCTGTGCCGTCGAGGAGGAAGTAGTCTGCGCGAGTGCTACAGGCTCGGTCTGAGTGGGGGCCATGTAGGTAGCCTCCTTAGTGTGGGCTCCAGCAAGGTCGGGCATTGGATCGCTTTGCGGGTGTACATTCGACGACGACGGCGCAGTATTGTTCATTGGTGGCATAGACGAAGATTCTGCTAGAGCACCTGTACCGGTCGGCGCTGCGTCGGCGGTCGAGCCGGGGCGTGAGGTGTTGTTGTTCGCTGAAGATGCGGCTTGACTCGACTGCGCTAGCAGCTGGCGGGCTTTCAGTAAGCGGAGTTGGTTCTGCCGAAGGGCCATCTGTAGCTTCTGTAGCTCCTTCTCCGTTTCCGCTGCCTCCTTCGCACGACCCATCTGTTTATGCTCCGCCAGCTCCTGTTTCTTCTTTGTGTGGGCCTGATTGAGTTGAAAGACGTACTGGGCGTCCGGCAACGCCACGTTTTGACGCAACGGACGAGGCGGCTGAGATACCGGCTGATTTTGTGGAGGGGGCTGCGAAGCGGCGACGGCGGTCTGGGGCGGCTGTGACGACGGCCCGGGAGGACTACTGTCGAGGGATGGCGGGGGCGACGATGGACGAGCTTCCATCTTGGGTCGCTTGGGTTCTGCGGTGCGACCCACCGAGTGAGTGAGATCCACGGAGCGCTTCGTACCTGCTAAAGAGTGATGTGAGACATCGAGACGACTAGCCATCGCAAACAGATCTCACCCTTCTGCTGAGCGGTAGGGAAGCCGCTCAGGTGCAAGATGTGTTGGGGTCGGACCGTGAACCAAGGTTGTTGCGTCGAGCCTGCTGCTGCCTGTCGTGAGATAGGCGTACAATTCGAGAGAGTGAGCGGTGACTCGGCCTCACCGAAGCATGTAGTTCCTGGAAACGAGGCAGCTGCCTCAGCAAAATGTTGCTGTAGTTTATATTCCTCTGTAACGCGCGTAGCGGTCAGCGAAGGGTTCAATCCGAACTTCCGTTCTACCTTTTGTAGCTCTACAGGCAGAGTCGCCCAAGACACTTCATCGAGGTTGGGGGCGATATTCCAGACAGGATGCTCGGACCCGTCGGGAGGTGCAGCCGCCACATGTATGATGTGCGAGGTCATGACCTGGTATGTCATGAGTCAACGCTTCGAATGAAGGACGGGCCGCGTACCTCCAAAGATTCCTTCAGCATGTCGAACAACTGACAACATCGTCAGAAGGGCACCCGCAAGCGGAGCTAAGCGGAGGCGGTCGGCGTACCTCAATTGCAGCAGCGAGACCTTCGAGGGCAGCCATACCAGTCGAGTCCCCTGAACCAGTGAGCCCCAGACCCATCTTCATGGGTTCCTCGCGCAGCTCCTTGAGGATCGCTTGCGGATTTCCGAAGAAAAGCTTTCCGAGCAGAGGCGTTGGCCTCGTCTCGGCAGGTCCGTAGGCCACAACCGCGAACCGGAACTAGTACAACACAGGGTGAGAGGATACGAGGCGAAGGAGGGCAGATACGCTTACATGCGGGCTGGTGTGCAGCTCTCCCAGGCGATGCAGGAGAGCAGGGATGTACTCCACCACGATTTGCCTCCACTCCGTGGCGAGTGTCAGCGATGCGTCTACAACATACGCGACAGCGATAATCTCTGCCATGAAGCGCGGACAATAGGGCTAGCAAATGCCTCTCAGAAGTGCTGAACAGTGCACGGTCTCCGAACGTGTCGGGTCGGTGGCCTCGGTCTTGGTGGCGGCAAGATCAGGCTGGACAGACAGAGCACGAGCCACGAGCATCTACAGACTACGAGTTGAAGGCGACAAGCTCGGATGATACGACCGCGGCCACACTCGTATACAATGTGTTATACATGTCCCAGACATGTCCCACGCCATGTTACTAGCGCCCCGACATTGTCGCAGTGGGCGTGGTGCAGTGTGCGTTATAATTAGGTCGTTGTCTGACTACGGTAGCATGCGATATGGTCGACAAATGCCTGTATAAATGTGCTATCGTCCAGACGTAATGAGAGGGAGAACATGAGAGCCGCACACGGTACTAGAGTACAAGTCCGCGCGTCCGTAAACCGAGCCTCGGACGTGAACGTCCATGATCCTTTTCATGCCATAACCAAAACGCCACCACCCAACATCGCAACAATGGTTACGAAGGGCCCGAACAACCAAGATATGTCCAGGAGCGGTGCTGCGGAACTGGCGGCAGCAGTGCCGGCGGATGTGTGCCACTCACTGTACTGCAATATTGTGCCAGTCGCAGTCGGGGTAAGCGTTGTGGTGGGCGCAAAAGTAGGCGTGAAGGTCGCTTCTTGCACGATTGTGGCGCCTAAGACGGTGTCAAGACGGCGATCCTGTGAACAGACGGTACGTGGACTGACCTGCGGCGTTGGTGGTCGAATAGTAATAGACGGTCTGGGAGGCGCCAGCTTCAGTTGGCGAGTCCTCGACAGCGCCGGGGTTCTGGGTTGTCGTCGTGGAAGCAGTCGTGCGCGCCGTCGCTGTATGAGACGTGGTGGTCGCCGTGTCAGTGGCCGTGTCAGTGGCCGGGTCAGTGTCACCGGTCAAAGTCGAGCTGAGGGCGGTCAGAACAAGGATCGGGCTGCACAGATGGCTACGTACAGGACCTCGGTTGTCGGGATGCCCAGTGGGTTGAGGGTGACGGCTTCGACGACTGTGAGGCCGAGCCTGCAGAGACGGGGTTGGGACGATGGAGGAGAGATACGGACGGGGAACTCACGCGTTTGTGGTGGTGATGGTCTGGCCATGCGCGGCGAGGGCAAAGACGGTCGCAAAGGCAGCCGTGAGGAGGGCTGATCTCATGGCGAGTGCGTCGTGCGGACTGGGGACGACGGTGAGGACGGCGGTGAGGACGGCGGTGAGGAGACACTCCGCGGCGAACTCGAGCACTCGACTGCGCCTCGGGGACGGTCACGTGATCTGGCGCCAGGCTACCTGCAAAGGAAGGCGGGCGTCTAACTTCTTTTCCAGGAAAATTGGAGGATGGCCCATCGATTCGGCGTCCGCCTTGCCTTCGCCCCCGCCTCCTTCTCCTCCTCCCTCCCCCGCCTCTTCTCCTCCTCCCTCCCCCGCCTCTTCTCCTCCTCCCCCCGCGTCCTCGCTCCCAAGAAAAGAATGCCCCCCAAAAAGGCCGCCGCGCCAGAGAAGAAGGCCCTCCTCGGCCGCCCCAGCAACAACCTGAGGATCGGCATCGTAGGTCTGTTCCCACATCCCGTCGAATAATAACCCTCTCATCGCGCGTCGTCCGCCAGGGCTGCCCAACGTCGGCAAATCATCCTTCTTCAATGTCTTGACTAAGACCGGTCAGCACACGTAGCCTCCCAATCTACCCGTCGCGTCTCACCGCGCGTTCTCCCAGACCTCGGCCTCGCGCGCAACTATCCTTACGCGACCATGTGCGTTTTGCCTTCGCCCTCTCCGCCTCGTCGCTCAATCCTCGTCGCTCTAGAAATCCAGAAGAGGCGCGTGTTCCCGTCCCAGACACCCGATTCGACTGGCTCTGCGAGCTGTACAAGCCTGCCTCTCGCGTCCCCGCTCACTTGACGTGTCTCGACATCGCGGGTCTGACCGCCGTGAGTCGTCCTATGCTTCCACGGTCTGCACCCGCAAACGTCGTCCCTAGGGCGCCTCTACTGGCGCAGGCCTTGGCAACGCCTTCCTGTCGCACGTTCGCTCAGTCGACGGCATCTTCCAAGTCGTCCGTGCGTTCGACGATGCCGACATCATCCACGTCGAGGGCGACGTCGACCCCCTCCGCGACATGGAGATCATCCAAACAGAGCTGCGCCTCAAGGATATCGAATGGACCGAGAAGCACCTCGATGGCTTGAAAAAGACTGGTCGCTCTCTCGGAAATTCTAGCCTCGCAGACAAGGCAAGGAAAGAGGAAATCGTACGTGAACTGACACGAGTTTTTGTGCAAACGTCATGCTCATGCATCTACCGTTGTGAAGGCCACAGTTGAAAAAGTCTACAAGGTCCTGACCGTCGATCAGAAGGACGTTCGCAAAGCAGATTGGACAAACAAGGAGGTGAGTGTATGCCGTCCGTGCAGGCGTGGCACCATGTTCCCATAGCGTCACGCGAGGCGCGTGACGTGTATGCGCATGAACTGCTCAAGTGATGATAAAGAGCAGTAAGCTCGATAACCCAGCTCGTCGAGGCGGGAGTAACGCCCCATTATGCCCATGAGAATAATTTATGTCTGATCTCAGCTTCTTCCGCTTTGAATGAACTCAGTATTAACTGGATGTCTTCGCAGATCGATGTAGTAAATGGCTTGCAGCTTCTCACTGCCAAGCCCGTCACGTACCTCGTCAATCTCAGCGAGAGGGACTATGTGCGCAAGAAGAACAAATGGTGTGTTTCGTTGGTCGCGTCTCAGTACCATACTCACGCGACACAGGCTGCCGAAGATCAAGGGTTGGATCGACGAAAACAATGCCGGCGATCCTCTCATCCCTTTTTCCGTCGCACTGGAAGAGCGACTCGTCAACATGTCCGACGAAGAGCGGGTGGAAGAAGAGAAGAAGATTGGTGCCGTGAGTGCCCTCCCGAAGATTACCACAGCGGGTTATGCCTGTTTGGATGTACGTGTCCAGTCGACGGGTGGTTATTCGCATGCTGATCGCCTCTCGTGCAAAGTTGATTCGCTACTTCACCTGTGGCCCGGACGAAGTACGAGCCTGGACGATCCGACGCGGGACCAAAGCACCACAAGCTGCAGGTGTCATCCAGTACGCTACAATCACATTTGGCTGTTGCCTGTGCACTCACATCATGATCAGCTCCGATTTCGAGAATAAGTTTGTATGTGGAGAAATCATGAGCTTTGATGACCTCAAGGAGCTCGGTAGTGAGTCTGCTGTGAAGGCTGCTGGCAAGCTACGGCAGCAGGGTAAACCTTACGAAAGTGAGCGAGACGCACTATTCTTCACTGCTGGATTTTCACTGAGCTATTCACAGTGGTGGATGGTGACATTGCTTACTGGAAGGCTGGAGCATAATCCTCACACTTCACTGTTGACATAACCATGAAGTGATATCTACGAAGTTCTTCATAGGGTACAATGTAAGAGTAATGAGACAGCCTGGGGTGAATTATGACTACATTGCATGACCTTTGTAACCTTGCATTGTTGAAACAGTAGGCCTGTGTTAAGGATCTGTCTTTACCAAAATCCACCTTGTGTGCCACTTCAAAGGCTTACTTTGATCCAAGTGCTATGGTCAAGTGTGATATGCCACTTTCTGCACATGGATGGGCCCTCACTCTATCATGCATAGGGGGACAAAAGACTGAGTGCAAGAGCAAGAGCCACAAGCTGCAGAGACCTGCAGAAGCCAAATGGGAAGCTGCAGGACAGTGCTGCAGCTGCAACTATGCCTATTATGCCTGCCTTGTGAGGATCTGACACTTGCATGCCACAACCTGTTCAGTGAGCAGATTCAATCCTGTCAATGGACCATGAGTGCCCAAGAGTCTGATATACATGTCCCATACACTCAAGTCACTTAGTAAATTAGACAGCATTCCTTACATGATATGAATCTTGTCAGTAAGCATGGCTTTCAGACAATGTGTGTAGATGATATCTTTCAGAGCTAATGGCAGGATAGATCCTACATGTGTATTTTACACATGCTGTGACAAAGGCTAGGACATGTTCCCAGAATAGCATGTATGAAGCTCAATGCAAGCATTGGAAATGGACATCCAGTGGAGGTGGTACAAGGCTGATTACCTAATCTATCAAAATGAGACAATTTCCTGAAAATAGGGATGTTTCCTAATACAGTGGTTTGTTCATGTGACTCAAAATCAGGTTCAGACCAGCTTCAAACTCAGGTGCCCTGAGCTTAAATAGCCAGCTTCTGCTGCATTGTGGCTGAACCACTCTTGAACTGCAACCACTACCTTCCTCTTTTGGACAATCCCAAGCCCCTCAGCTTACTAAGCATGTCTGTGAGTCCGCTTCCTTTTATGGCAGGCATGTGACCACACTTACACCATTTCCAGAGCAACAACTCAATCTCCATGGCTGTCAGCGCCTCTGGTGCTCAGGTGAGTCTGTTGTTAATCTGCTCGTCGAGAGGATTCACAATCCCTTGTCAGGCTCCTCAGGAGAGGCCCAACTCTGTGAGTGTAGCTCTTGCACAAGGATGGAATGTTATGCTGACTTGTGTCTGAAAAGCCTAGCCCCAAGGAGCTGACCCCTCAGGACCAGCAGCCTTCAGCTGCCATGGTGAGCACATAATGTCCTTGAATCCTCTCAGCGCCAGGATTCACACTCCCTGTAGGTCCATGAGGAGGGCCAGGCCCACCAGGACAAGGAGCATCCAATGGATCTGGATGTATGTTCATTTGAGCCCTGTTCTATCAGCTGAGCTCACATGCATTTTCAGGAGTCAGGTTATCTGGATGTAGATGAAGATGAAGAAGAGGAAGAGGAGGAAGATGATGATGATGATGATGATGAGGTATGCCATCAGTTGTTGGCCAGAATGACCACTTTGCTGACTATCTGTGTGGTCTAGATTCCACTGGCCAACAAGGTGACTATCAATTGCAGTATGAGTTTGTGGTGTCCAAGTCCTGAGACTCTACATAGAAGAATTCTGCTACTGCTGCTGCTCCTGGGAGGAAGGGTAGCAGCAAGGCTGGGGGTACCAAGGTTTGCCTCTCATGTGTCAGGGATGGTGATATGAAACTCACACAACCTGTGTAGGTCTCTGCCAGAGCCAAGAAATTGCTGGTGAGATATCTCCCCCATTATATTCCACAGTCTTGAATCTGTTCAATGAGAGGATTCAAACTCACAATTCATTATAGGCTGGAAGGCCTGAACAGGCTGATCAGGCCTCCAACTTCACCTCCCTCCAGGAGGCCTACAAGGGTCTCAAGGGGTGCAGGATTGGGTGCTACCTTGTTCATGTCAGCCCCAGTGAAGATGGTCTGGGCTACACCCTGGACCTTGCCTTGGATGGGCCTGCTTTGCAGGCCAATGCTGTTAACAGGAGGCCTCTGTCAACCAGTCACCTGAACAGGATCCACAACCATATGAAGCTTAAGTACAAAGGCTTCATGTTGGAGCATTCAATCTATGTTGGAGTCCAAAGCAACTGGATTGTCAACCCTCAGGTATGATTCAGCTTGTGTGTGTCTCTACAGTGTACTCACTGTTGTTCAGCTCAATGCTGTTGATGACACAGACCTACCCAAGGTTTTCTGGAGTGAGGCCTCCAAGGGCCAAAAGGCCCATATGCTCAATGGGCAACATAGGCTTGCAGCTTCCATGAAGCTGGTACAGCCTCTAGTGAAGGACTTGCTTGAGGCAGACAAAGCCTTGTCCACACTGCCCAAAGCCTCCCAAACTTACAGAGACCTGGAGGCCAGGAGGGAGGAGATTAGGCAGGAGATCCAGGAGAAGACTACTTGGGCTGTGCAACTGTTTGACTTGGGTAAGGTTGCTCATTTGCAGCCATCACTCTTCATCTCACTTCAGTTTGACCAGATGCTCTCAACCAACATCAGTTCAAGCACCAGCTCTACTTCCTCTTGGCTGAAAATGAGCCAGATGCCTATATGACAGATGATGAAGAGTCTCAGATGGGCTAGGTCCTTCCTACATTTGTTCTCACCAATTTCTATCCATACACTCATGGGTATATTATCTCTTATCTGTACTTGTACATCGCACCTTACCTGCTCTACCTTATCTTTCCTCCTATCCCTGTTGCTATCTCTATGCTACATGCACACTTATTTTTCTTGCTGCCCAACACTCACCCTGATTTTGATCTCATCCCATGTCTCTTCCTCATCACTGACCTGATTTATATCCTGATACCTATTATTACTCTCATAGCCTATTCCTATACTCCCCCTTATCTTTATCACACAACATGCATCCATATTCTTATCCTCATCTCCTTCCTCTCCACTTCATCTTACCCCTTACATGTACTCCCAATATACCCACACTTCCACCCATATTCATATTGTTATGCTCAACCTCTTCCTCCAACACACACTCCTATGTGTACCTCCCTGTACTCATGATCATAATCCTCTCATTGAGTACACCCACACACACCATACAACTCATTATCATAGAGCACCATGACATCTTATGGTATGCTGATAGCATTGCCCCATTGCATACTCTCATAGCCACTTGTAACAGCCACTTCCCTTTGTACATCTGTTCAACAAATGGATTCAATACCACACAAATTCACAAATCAGCTCATCTTGTATCTCATTATCATCCAGTCACTATGTCATATACCCATACACTGCCTGTAGTGATGCCGTGGCTCGTGAGCCGCCTTGAGCTGAACCGATTGATGAATCAGCTCAAGGCTCGGCTCAGGCCAGCTCAAGGCGTGACATTTTGGCTCAGTTCTGGGTGTCAATTGGCTTTTCTGACTCAGCGTGAACCAGCTCTGCGGGCCTGAAGCAGCAGCTCAACCAATCTTTTGTACAGTAACATCAATATAAAGTCGCTGTTACCGTGATCAGCAACATCGTTACAAAAATGTTACCACTGTGATCACTAAATTGTTAATGTAAGTATCTCACAGTTAAGGCCCAACGTTGCAGTCACAGAGGTGATGTATTGCATTTCAGACGTGGCATTCAATATACATTCAATATAGTTGTACAGAGACATGGTAGGCATGACAGGAGACACAGTACGTGATATGGGATACGTGATACAGAAGACAACAAAGCCAGACGCGAAGCTACGAGATCAACAACACTGTTAAATGATCGAGAATATATCATCAACAGCGAGATCAGCGTGGACACTCAAAACCTCCTCCTCAGCCAGCAGATCATTGACCAGGTTGCTCAGGCTCTGGAGGTGCCTCGTGAAGGACAGCCGGTTCCTCTTGATGAGGTACTTCAAGACTTGCAGGGCCTCCATGAGCTGGGGGCCGATGCGGTTGCGCTTCGGGGTGTCCGTGTCGGCACTTGAGGAGAAGAGGCGTTCGCACGGCACCAACGTCGCCTGGATCGGGAGGTAGTTCATGGCGATGCGCCACAGAATGGGCCACTGCTTCTTGATGTGCGGGTTCTGTCTAATAGTTAGCTACTAGTGATAAAACAGAAGCATCAACTTGATACTTACCGACCAGTAGAGGAGCACGTCTTCGTGCTCGGGCTCTCTGCCCTTGGCCACCCACTCTGCGTACTCGCGGTCCACGGAGTTGACTTCTCGCTGCCCTGGTGCCGCTGCTGCACCCACATGACGACCGGTGTTGTATACGCGAAGCCCTTGAACCTCATCGTACACCCGCTGCATGCTGGGGTGTTGTTGTCGCCGAGGTTGGACAGGAGGAGCGGGGGCTTCAACATCATCCGGGAAGTACTTCGCCTTGTACTTCCTCATCTGACAGAAACTTTGTCAGTTATATGACCGATTGTAGGAGAGATTACTTACCGTGCTCTTGATGAGCTCCTCGGAGTCCTGGATGTAGTCCTCATCCCAGTGTTCCCTAGTTATATACTCCCCGTAGAAAGGGGGCAGACTACAGCAGCAGCAGCAGCTGCGGAGACCTGCAGCACCCAAAAGGGTAAGCGCAGGCACCTGCAGACCCCAAAAGGGTAGGCGCAGACACCTGCGGAGACCTGCAGTTCCCAAAAGGGTAAGCGCAGACAGCTGCGGAGACCTGCAACTCCCAAAAGGGTAAGCGCAGACATGCTGCAGCAGCTGCAGTCCCAAAAAGGCATCTGAGGCCATGCAGCTGTGCACACTTCACAGGCTGAGAGACATTGCACAATCTCTTCAGTCAGCAGTTCTGCTAACATGAAGCAAAGTTACAGAATCTGCACAAGTGAATCCACTCAACGCACAGATTCACTGCCATGAGCACCCAATGCAATGATTGCACACATGTCCCATATGCTGAGATGAGCCATTGATCCCACTGCATTGTTAATCCTCTCGTCGCAAGGATTCATCATCTGGCAAACAATCTCAGAAGCAAGGCTAACTCAATCATGACAGTAGCTTGATCCCAGTGAATTGTCTCAATGAACACATTCACCACCATGAAATGCTCCACACACATGTCCAACAGGCTGAGGTGGCTGCAACAATATTTGCATCCCAGTGTGAATCCTCTCGTCGCATAGATTCAATGTCAAGTGTGATAGCACATGGATTGGCCCTCAGACTTTAGTCTATCATATATAAGGACCACACACTAAGTGCCAGAGCAGGAGCTGTGAGAGGAACAGCTGCAGCTGTGCACATTCTAAGGGTATGACAGCCTGAGTGACATCTCAAAGCACGCACACCTTTGAATCCTCTCGACGAGCAGATTAAACACCATGACCACCTAGCTACTGATACAACAGGTTGTGAGGGTTGCCACCATTTGAGAGTCTAACATACACCAAAGTTCAACAAATTCCCTAACCTCACCATCTAAGTGCCCAAGTGAATCCTGTCAACAAACAGATTTGACCTCCAAAATCATAGCATATCATCCCAAACACAGACTGACACACAGCCTGTGCTCTTGTGTTAATCCTCTCGTCGAGCAGATTCAATGTCTGGTGTGATCACTGGCAAGTCATGTGTGCCCCACCCAGGGCTGTTGATCTATCATATACAAGAGGAAATCAGGCTCATCCTCGAGATGAGCTGAAGATCAGTGGCTCTGGATCACATGATTTCAACTTCCAGTCATGTGCCCATGGCTGAGGACACTATATAGCTTTGGGCATGCTGGCCCAGCACCCCCACCCCCCTCTCCCCCTTTGCACCACCACCAGTAAGTAAGTCTCAGTCACAAAGATAATTGCTAATCCTCACTGAAGCACACAGGAGCAATGTCCTACTATGATGATGTTGTAGAGAGCGAGGCATTTGATCCATACACAGATGACCCATTGCTGTGAGTTTATCATTTGTGTTGCCATTGTTGCCTGACTTTGCATAGCTTTGAGTTCAAGGCTCCAAAACGCAAGTCTGAGATTGATCCTTACAGGGATGAGGAGCATCAGTAAGTGTTCCTCTTTCCAGCATGACCTCGTCCATTATCTGATTTGATACAGTCTTGGCCCTAAAAAGGTGAAGGTGGATCACCATTGGCGTGATGAGAAGCCTCTCCCCAAGAGCAAATTTCCCAGCAGGAAGGAGAAGACAGACATTGAGCTAGAAGAGCAGAGATCAAAAGAGCACCCACCCATTGAATGTGGTTTCATGCTCTCAGCTGTCCCTCTCCACATTCATCACAAGAGGAGGTGCTTCAGGTTGCCTGGGGTCTGGGCACTGCCATCAAGGAATGAGGAGTCTCCTCCAAATCAGTCCTTGTGAGTACCTGGTCTGTCAATTGTCTCTTATACTAAGCTCTGAATGACATCTGTCAGCACTCAAAAGTCCAAGCCAACTAGAGTGAAGCCATTGTGTGACAGCATACAGACAGTCTGCAGTGATGAGGAGTTCATTCCAGGCCTGGATTTCTTGTAGACCATGTCAAGCCTTGAAAATCATTTATTGTGTTCAAGTAAGGCTACATGTCTGCAAGTGTCTCTGCAGGCATGTGTGTGTTAAGCCATGTTGGCTTGATGGGCATGTTGCACCAGACTTTTAATCTGCTCGACGAGAGGATTAAAAACCAGCACAAGGTATATGTCACTTGTCTTAGCCTATGGACAGGCCTGCCACATGCTTGAGTTGTGATGGTCTTGAATCTGTTCGTCGAGAGGATTCAACCAGGTTCAGTCGCTTGGCTTGAACTGTTGTTCAATTGCAACAGGGCTAACACAGAGTTCGCTTGTGTTTGCAAAAGCAAATGAATCATGGAAATGTGACTAAAATCCTGCAAGGCCACACAATCACTAGGAAATAATTGATTTCAATGGATGCCACAGTGACAACAAATATAATACAATACAAACAAACAACAACAAAGAGAGCACATATATATACAGGTACAGCCTCAGGTGTCTCTCCTTACTCAAGACCACCATCATGTCAGACTTGAAAGACACTCAGAAGGAAGAAACAGTGAGTGCTCTGATACACAGCTGTGATAGTTCTAACCTGACCCATGTAGATGACCCAGGATGGGAAGGTATGCTTAGCTGATCATGCTTAGTCAGCACAGCAGTGACTGACTGGGGTGCAGGCAGCTGAAGAGGACATTACAAAGCAGGAGGATGAAGCTGAGCAGGACATCCCAAGGGATGAAAGTGTGAGTGATGCTTGAGTTAAGTGTGGATGATTGGTGGGCTAATAGCTGTGTGAATTCAGAACTATCCAGCCACTGGGCCTGTGTGTGAGCACTGTGCCTTCAGAGGCCACACCAGGTATAATTGCTGGTCTTGGGTGTGCTATGGGTGTGAGAAGAGCAACCCTGGGCATTCTCCTGAGGAGTGTCCTGAGACTGAGGGGAGGACCCCTGTAGATGAAGCTCACTTCCACCATTGGGTGGATTGAAGAGGGTAGAGTAGTAGCCAAGTGCCAGTAGTGACTGTGAAGTGGGGTGGGAATTGAATTGGGAAAGGTGTACTTGAAGTGTGACAGACAGTGTATGGGCATAAGGGACAGACTGGATGATATGGAGATGCAAGATGGGCTGGTGGGTGGATTTGTGCGGTGTTGAATCCAGGCGTCGCAAGGATTAAAGAAGTGAAGTGGCTGTGGTAGTTGGCTATGAGAGTGTGTGATGGAGCTGTGCTGTCACATTTTCCATACAATAAGATGTCGCAGTGCTGAGTTGAGTGGTGTGATGTAGGAGTGCCATGTGAAGATATAGTTGAATGTAAGTGTAGATGTGGTGAGTATGAAAAGGGACAATGGTGAGGAGGAAAGTAGTGATGTGCTGAGGTTAGATGAATACAGGAGACAGTATGAAGTTGGTTGAATCTACTCGTCGTGAGGATTAAAGAGTACAGGGAGGTTGGGTGAGGTACATATAGGGGAGTGTGTTGGAGGTTAGGGATGAGCATAACCATGTGAATTATACCCCCTTCACCTAAGTCCAGGGGGGGTCAGCGTGCCCTCAGCTTGCCTTATATGGTAATTCCTTTTTGGGCCATTACCATATAAGGCAAGTGCTGACTTCGGGCCGCACCTACATGTCTCAGGGGATCTCGCGCGGGCGCGCGAGATCCCCTGCGCACCTCTCAACACCAGTTATGTGGACTGCGTCAAGACCAACATCCAGTACTGAATGTCAGGGGTCTGTGCACTGGCGCGACATCCCCTGGGACATATGCCAGTCCCATGTGCCATGCACGCACCACGCACCATGTGTTAGGGGATCCTGCGCACCCGCGCGAGATCCCCTAGAAAGGGTACGCGCGCACGACACATCCATGTACTCAAACATTGTACACATACAGTCTCCCAGGGGATACTGCGCACCCGCGCAAGATCCCCTAGAAAGGGTATGCATGTATGATACCCCCATGTACCCACACAGCGTACGCACATGGGCTCCCAGGGGATCCTGCGCACCTGCGCGAGATCCCCTGGAAAGGGTACGCGCGCACGACGCGTCCGTGTACTCAAACGTAGTACACACAGTCTCCCAGGGGATCTCGCGCGTGTGCGCGAGATCCCCTCAAGCACATGTCAGCATCGCGAACCATGCCTTAGGTTCCTCAAAGTAACCTATTGTCTCCGGTACTGCGCGCACCATGTAACAGGGGATCCCACCCTCCCGCGCAAGATCCCCTTGGAGGAGTACTGTGTTTCGTAGTATGCGCACATACATTATTGGGATTCACGCGAGCGCGCAGCATCACCTCACTTCCCAATGCTTGAGAACATAATGCACGCACATGGTCTCAGTGTGCATGCACATTGCAGCCGCAGCATCTGAGACACGATAACAAGCTGTCAGATCAATCTGATCGATTGTGTGTGATGAAGTGATCGGTTCTGAGCGCTACAGATGTCCGTACATAGACACACACAAGGCTATCGCTAATCTGGGAATTGCCGATCACACCCCGATGTCCCATGTACAAACGACAGATCCGCTCAAAATTAGACAGAGATACAGATACTAAGATGCCTAGGACATGAAACGATTCCAGTCCGCGTTCAATTCAATCTCTAACATGTCCGCAAGGGCGATCGCTTCTGCCTCCCTTTTGTACAAGCCCATGTACTGGTCCATCACTGGCCATAACGTATCCATGAGGTTCTGCTCACATACGATCGCGTCGAAGCGGGCGCGCCGCTCATCCAAGTAACGCTCCAGAGCCTTAGGGTCCCAAACTTGATCCACGCGTATCACGAGTTGAGTGTCAGCCTCACAGGTATACGCCATGCGCTTGCCCATGAGCTCTAGTACCCTACCCGCGTACGGAGCCGCGAATTTGATGAATTTGGCCATGAACTCGGCCGACATGTACTCGTGCGGGTTATTGTCAAACGCGGCACTCATCCTGTGCGGCCACGATGACTGCCGGTGCAGGCACAGTTAGTCTGAGGGTTACCCAGATACCGACATGATGGACGCTCACCGCTACCGTGCACATTATTCCCAATCCGCGTGTCAAGCACTGCTCGCATGTCTCCGAGTTTGGACGTACGTCGCAATTGGCACTGCGGTGGAAGATGCACATTGCACACCGGTCGGCGCCATGCATCTGTAGGTAGCGAGTCAGCCCTGGACGCCACTGAGTACCTACAACTAGCAGGGGTCCGTACTGATTTTGGCTGTTCACGGCGCGGGCACGCTAAGTATTCACCGGCTTGAGAATGGTCAGTCCGCTACTTGGAATATAAATGCTCGGTACTCACCGCTGGCTTCGCACGTCGTTCCACTACCACCGGCAGACACACTTTGGGGAGTGTTGGAGCTGGACATGGCAGCGACTTGAGAAGAGAAGACGGCACCTGACATACCGAGTGCTATGTTTTGCGTCATGTGAGTTGTGTGGCGGCGGGCGCTTCCTGCATTACGAACCTCCGTTCGGCCACAGTGAGCAGTATTGCATTCACACGGTAATATCAGTGGTTGCACCCCGGTATCCGCATTGATGTCGCGACGTTGTATTGCGCATGCGCAGAGTCCTGCGCCAATGCGCCTATTTATACAAGTGGCAATATGCGCAGTAGTATGTACTATGCGGTGCGCATCCTTGGATTGTTGTTCCGAGCCTGAGGAACATTGATTGATATGGCAGATCCATGAATGCATGGACGCGCAAGCTCACCATGAACGAGCAGGGATCATCACCGGCATGATCAGTGCAACGTGCGCAGATCACCTCATGTGCGCGCACCGCGCAGTAGGTTGCGTTTGACGCCTGACATTGTATACATCGTTCGCTCGCACGACGCTATGCTAACCGTGAGTTTGGACGCGTCTGTCATGGGACATCACCACGCACCACGACCGTCACTTCCCGTCGCATGCGACTCTCTGCTGCGCATGTGGCGTGTCAATGCAACCGGTCAATATCATAGCTGACATCAAGTTACCGGTGTGTTGCGGCAGGTTTATCGCAGTCATCGGAGTCAAACAATGAGTACAAGTGCCGCCGGCCACTGCAGCATATCTGATAGATCAGATGCGGGAACGTGCGCGGGGCGCCACGCATATCCATACATAGACGCACATGATCTTGATTTGGATTCCACAAGAAGAAGTATGTACTCTATTAGTAAGACCATACGCGAAGTCTCGAACGTGCCTCCTGACGTGCGCGCTGCTCTCTGAGCCGTTGTAACAAGCGCCTGTAACTTCCATCGTATGCGTATAGCATGAGCGTCATTGTTTTGACCGCTCTCCAACTATAGTAAATCTCAAGATACTCCGTCTTATCGCTCTCGTAGAGCGGCGAGAGCGGATTGGAAAGACGCGGGTATACTGTGTGGTGAAAGTGTTCATAAGCGTGCGCATGGCGCGCGCGCTGGGCTTCCCATGCGTGTAAAACCAATTGCAGATTGGCCATGAAGTGGTGGCTGAGGTAGTAGGCTGGTTCACTCTTGACGCGCTGCCACATGCGTGCCCTCGATGGTTGCTGCCCAAGCACACCTGGTCGGTGCTATGTTCATTGAGAAATGCGATGCTCACCACGGTCACGGTACACAGTATCTGGACGCCCAAGTCAACGCATTGGGAGCAGCTCATAGAGCCCGGAAGCACATCACAGCGAGCATGCTGAAGACATGTGCAAACTGAGCATTTCTCGTGAGCCGTAATGTACTGCCACCAAACATATGTCAGTAGGCACAGCGGCGGAAACAGTTATGTAGAGAGGACGAGTTCGCACGCTGGAAATCGACACCGGTTCCGGTGCCTGTTTTGTATCTCCTTCTGAGCTTGGATGAGTGCGAGGCGCGGACGTTTGGGGAATGTCTTACCTCGGTTGCGTTGCAGTCCTGATTCGGCACTGCCCCACCCATATATGAACGGTGATGCATACATGGTGAAGTTGGTACAGTTGAAACCGACGATGACGCCCGGTATCATCTTGGAGCGCAAGGCAAACATGCGTAGCCCACACACGGTCATGTGAGACACGCACGCGAGCGCGACACTTGGGCGGCCCCTGGGGACGCGATCATATGATCTGTTGACGCGTACAGCGGTAGGCGCTTGTTGGTCCACTTCGCGCTTCATCGTTCCGTTGTCGCTTCTTTCGGCATCTTTGCCTGCTCTCGCCGCGTTCATCAATCTTGGCAACACCGCATCACGCGCTTGTCCACGCCCGCGGGCCCATCGCATCTCTACACGCAACACCTACCATGGTCGGCACATGGACGGAGAAGCATACGCAGAAGTACTTTCGGGCCGCGGTGAAGAAACGCGTGGATTTCATCGGCACGCGCAAACATTTAGAGTTCACGGACCAGGTGCCGCCCACGCACGAGTGGACGGCTGAGCTGCTTGAGCAGTTCAACCGCAACCTGCGTGGTGTGTACAATGGGCCTTTTGACTGGGAGACGACGGAGGTCCTGTTGATGAAGTACATCATGGTGCGTCGCGTGCTCACAGTGTCTCGGATGATCTGAGTCAAACGTGCGTCAGACGGACGACCTCTTGAACTCGCTCAAGAATCTATCGAAAGACGTCGCGCTGCCTCACCTTGTGCGGCTCGTCCTGGACTGGGCCTGCTGGGACCCGCCGCAGGAGGGAGCGTGGCCGCCGGGCTTGAGCATGCGCCGCTACTTCATGAAATGGCGCCACTGCGAGCCGCTGAACTTCAAGTCGGACACGTCGACCGACGTCGACATGGAGCAGGCGGCCAACGCTCTGCTGGATATGTGGATCGGTGAGTGCATCACCGTGTTCGTGTGTGTGTGCGCTCACTGTGTCCCGCTGGTCAGCCAATGACCGTCTGTATGGTACGTTTGTTCCTCTTTGGTCGGTTGTGTGAGTATGACGATTGGCGCGCATGTACAGCGGACACACCTGTGCAGTATCGCGAGGCGGAGGATGTCCCTGGGGTGACGCAGTACAAGTTGAGGATGCAAGATGTCACGGACGAACAGCGACGCGAGGCGGCGGAGGCGTTGGAGGCATACCTGAACCAGGAGTGGCGGTGCGGTGCGCCGTTGCAGATGAAGGCCTGGATCAAGGTCAGGTCGTACAAGAGGCCAGAGAACCTGCCTCCGGCTGAGAACGACACAGTGGTGAGTTTACAGGGTTGTGCTCTGCATTTGCTGTTGATGCGCTAGGTGACCAGATTCGCGGGCCATACATGTGCCTACAATGCGTCAAGGCTTGCATCCTCGAATGCCGTGTTCCAAACGATACCGAATTACCCAAGTGCGTGTCGTGCCGTGTGCGCAAGATCAAGTGCGCCTATCAGGTTCGTGCGCACAGGATATCTCTGGCACAACAGACTCACGGGACAGATAGACCGAGCTGGTTGATCCGCGCGCGGACCCAGCCTTCTTCAACCCGCCCCGCGCGCTATCCAAGGCATCGGTCTCTCAAGGTTCCAGTGCAGGTCCGTCGTCGTCTGCTGGCGCGTCCGGCAGCGCGAAGCGCACAGCAGACACGTTGTCTGAGGAGGAGAGGGAGGTGAAGCATACCCGGTCTTGAAGGGCGTTTGTGCGTGACACTACTGTAGTATCGTGGTAGCACTCCGTTTAATGCGACGAATTAGCAATCTGTTTCTTGCAAATACCCGGACTATTACATTGACATGGCGCCGCTGCCTGATGCCATGCGCGTGCATCCACACCTCCGGTCTCAACGTTTAC